CCCCCTCCCCCCCGGCGCTCGCTAACATTCCCACTTCACGGACCGAAAAAAAAATTGACAGGCGGCAGTGCGACGTAAACACACAGACTGTCACGTCCGCTGGGTCAAAACAAAAAACTCCGATCCCAAAAACTCCCGAAAAAACCTAAAAAAATCCCCAGCAAAGCAACAAAAACCCAAACCCCAAAAAAAAAGCAAAAAAATCCCTAATTTTTTCAACATATGGGGTAGTACGGGCCACCCTCCATTGTCCCATCTTCCGTTTCCCCGGATGAAGAAAAACAAAAATATTTTTTTCTGCGATAAATTCCAGAAAACGCAGAAAAAAAAGAAAATCTAAAATTTTCAATTTAGACGAAAAAAATTGCGAAAAAAATGGAAAATGCGAATGAAAAAGTGCTCACCATGTTCAGACCTGTCGGAAGTTCGAGGGCAGTCCTGAAAGCTGACTCCAGCCGTCGGAATAATGAAGGAAAAAGTCCTCGTCCCAACGAAATGCCCGATTTTTTGCTCGATTAAGAAATATTAGTGATTAATTTCCCGATCCTTGGACGCTTTTTCGTCTCCGGGGGATCGTCCCGGGGCTCCTCTCGAGGTACACCAGCACTTGAACACCACCAGATCACGCTTATTACCGATGATATCACCCACCACTGCCACAACAGCCGAAAATACGTGATTAATCGTTTGTTTTTTTGAGTCTGGATGAATTTTATTGTCGTCTCGGGGGGATTTTTAGTCCTTCCTTGGGCTCTCTCGCCACCACTTACGGCCTACAAACACCAACAGACTGGCCCCCAGGAGTAGGCTTAGCTGCCAACAAGATGGCGACGAGATTCAGCGCGCCAATTTTCACTTTTGCGAATCTGTTTGTTGTTTTCTATGGTTGGAGAGGTAATTGACTTTCTTTTAAGCATCAGTATCCCTGGACGGGATGGGGCGATTTTAATAAGTCGAAGCTCATTTTCAAGGGCGAAAGAATAACTTCAAAATGAAAAAAAAATCGGGAAATTTCACTCTGCCGGTCGCGAGTTATTGGCGATTAAAGATGGCTCTTTTTCGCTCCTAGGATTTTAGTTTTTTTATTTGGGAATTTTTTTAATTTCGTAATGAGAGAATTATATCATTAATTATTGATGTTGCGAGGGAAATGTCGGGAGACAAAATGCTTTGAATTTCAAGAAAGCCAATTAGGTCTTTTTCTTCTTACATTTTTCGATAAACTCAGTCGCTTCCATCTTTTTTAAAACAATCTATTCTATTCGTATCTTTAGTTGGAGAAGGAAGAAATAATTAACTTTTTTTCAATCATCAATATTTCTGAACGAATTGGCGCAATTTTAATGAGTCGATGCTCATTTTGAAGGGCGAAAGCACAGTTTCAAAATGAAAAAAAAGTTGGGAAATTTCACCCGCGAAAAATCCTTCTCCAAAATTTTGATTTTCTTTCTAGATAATTACGAGAGATTAAATAAAAACAGAAGATAAAATTGAGATCTCGTTTCACAACTTCACGGATGAATTATCACATGGAGATTTTTCGATTTTATTTAAATTGTTTCTCAGAGTTGTTATGACATTTTTTTTACGGCATTTCGTTCTGGGCGGTCTTTATATCGTCGAGCATATTTTCATTCGCTTCCGAGAGGCACAGATGTGTCATCACGTTTTCCGGGAATCGATTGGGTTTCGAAGGGAAATAGAGAATGAGAAATTCACACATTCGAAAAATGTCAGTAGATATGTTTTGGTGAGAATTTCACGGACTGCAAGAGGGTCTTTTACCATATTTTTAATGATCCATTAATTTCTGAGACGTCCCCGGAATAATGCGCGCATGAATTCTCAGATATTCCGATTTTAGAAATTTTATCAATCCCGTAATTAGTTAATTATCTCGTTAAACATTGATTGTGCAAGAAAACTTTCAGGAGACAAAATGTAGAGAATTTCAAGAACTGCAGAAAATGTCATACACAATTTTTCGGTAAACCCATTCACTTGCAAGATATTTGCGAACGAAAACGAACATTCGTTCGTCTCCTTTTTTTATCTTGATCATTCCGTTCCTAATTATGGAATTATATCAATAGTTATTCATCTGACGAAGAAAAACATCAAAAGACAAAATGTAGGGAATTTCATAAGCTACAAAAAAGTGGTGTGACATTTTTCTCTAAATCCATTAGTTCCCGAGGTAATTTTCAAAATTCCGAGAATGAAACATTGACTTCTCTCCACATCTACGCAGAATTTAATTCTCCACTTTTGAATACGATTTCATTCTATTTAGGGGAGAGTGGAGCAAAACGAAACAGCAAATACTGATGAGAATAATAAGTTTCCATTCGGTAGAACGAAAAATTATTGAAAAGTTTTGACGGGCGAAGATTTTGTCAATGGATTAATTGAAAAGAAAATGAAACAGCAAAATCCAAAATCCACAGCAAGACCCAGAGGGGAAAAAGGAAAATGTGCTGCTGAATTTCAATCAAATAATTCATTGACAAAATCTTCGTTCATCACTTCTCAAAAATTTTTCATTCTACTGAATGGAAAATTATTCCATTATTACTATTATTATTATTATTATTATTATTATTATTATTATGGATTATTATTCTCATCAGTACTCCCAAGAATAAAAACAGTTGACAAAAAAAAATTTAATAAAATTTTTTTAAAAAATTTCAAACTTATTATTTAAAAAAAAATTTTTTTTAAATTTTTTTTGAAATTTTAATAAAAAATTTAATAAATATTTTTTTTTTACTTGAATTGCGTCAACAGTGGCTTTTTTGACTGTTTAATTTTGCCCCACTCTCCCCTATATTTTTTATCCTTATTTTGGACTAATTTTTAAAATTCCCCGGAAACTCCATCCCCCTCGCATATACTTTCCCGAGAAGAAAGAAAAAGTTCTGACGAATCGATAGACATGTCTCTTTTGTTATTTTAAATGTCAGCCGTGCGTTCTCATTTTTTTTATTCTCGGATTTATCAGTCCCCGAGTTACACGTAATTTCAGCCCATTTATTTTTCCTCATCGATTTCCAATTTTTCGATGTGAAATGAAAACAATGAACCATCCGATCCCAGAGAGAAAGAATATATCCGATAGATATATTTTCCTCCGAAATCTCTTACCTCTCGTTCAATTTATTTTCCTCTCGATCCACACTTGATCAACATTTCCCAGTTAATTAATCACTCAATTAGTCCGGGATGGGGGAGATGGGAGGGGAGTGTGATAAACCAATGCAAGCATAACAATGAATGAACGGAGAAATCCAACGATTTAACTACAAAAATTATGAAAATTTTGGTAAAAAATCATCCGAGTTGTTCACTGCATCGTGGATGTTTAAACACTGAAGCCTCACTCGATTGGTGGGTGAGTGTGGCCGTGAGAAGTGATGAGGAACGACATCTGGATGGATTTTTGTGAAGTGCAAGAGCCGCGGAGGACATGTGCCTCCGATTTGAATAGGCAATGAATTTATTCACTCACTTATCAAGTTATTTTGAAGAATAACGAATATAGGGGAGGATGGGGTAAAAATGGTGGACTTTTTTAAAATTACTCATAACTCAGAAACAAATTCATCAATTGAGCTCAGTTTAGGCTCATTACAAAGGGAAAGAAATGTTCTTTACATTGAAAAAAAAAGTATTGAATCTCATCAACATTTCAAGCTGTTATTAATATTTGAAACAAAGTCAAAAGTGTCCATTTTACCCCAACCTCCCCTAAACACAAATCCGCTACATCTCATAAAATTATGCTAAAATAAAAAATCCAGTGTAACGTATTTTGAAGCCAATCTATTCGGCGTATTGTGTCATTAGATTTTTCATAAATGATGATAGTATACAGTAAAGATATTACGATAATACTTTATTATATTATATTCTATGCTATACTATATTATAATACATTACCGACGGTAGTGACCGTACGGTTAGTGCTAGACTCGTATGCCAATGATCCGGGTTCGCTTCCCGGCACCGGCGGTCAAAATTTATAGCGCTCTAATTTCACAGTTTCACTGCCGAGCGGTAGTCCCGTCAAAAGGACGACTGTACCAGGGCAGGTTTTTCCCTCGAATGAGGTTTTTCCTCCCTTCGGCAAATGCGGTACAGGGGGTGGAGGGGGGTGGGAAGGGAACAAATCGTAAAGACCCGAAAGGGTATACGAGAAGAAAAAAATTTAAATTTATTATAATACATTATGCATACTATTATTATCAGTTTATTATTTCATTTTTTTTATCATACACATTAAATGTTATAATACAATTTTTCTTTAATTACAATTGACTGGCTAACTGGAAAAATTCAAAAAAATTTGACTTTGTCAATTGAAGTATCTAAAAAATTATAGTAGTTCTTAATATAACATATTTCTCAAAATTGCTGAGGAAAACATATTATTTCGAACAGATGAATTATTTTTCCCATGTTGAATGAAATTGCCCATGACGCGACGTTGCCGGAAACTCGCTAAACGCGTCCGGGCAGTGTAGAGTGAATTCGGCAACGCAAAGATTTGGATTTAAGGCCCGGGTGTACTATTTTTCGAATGTTATCTGGATTTTTTCATCTTTCTTAATCCAAAATTGTCAATTGAGTGGTATATCATGTAAAAATTCCCAAAAATTATGATAGAATAATAAAAAAAAAAATAGAAAAGATTCTGAGATTTTTCAAAGAGCGTTTTTAATTGAGATTCAGAATGAGTTGAAAAAAGTAGAAATTACATTATCTGATTCGCTGTGGCAAATTATCTATTAGTGGATAACAAAACACTAACTCCGCATGGGAAGTGACAGCTCGGTATCTCAATTTTCAAAACAGTGGTATGTAGTCATCTGCCATTTTTATGTGATAAAAGTGTGATTAAAAAATTCTCCAAAATATTACAACTTTTTTCAAAGAGCCTTTTCCGTAATAAATGTCTCTGTGCAGTGTGGGAAAAGATTTACGAAATCAGTCTTCCCCCTGCATGATATTGAGTGACAGGCCACCACAGGCCACCATTTGTCATCGTAAATCAGATACATTTTTCAATTTCTTGTTATTCAACTTATTCTGAATATAAATTAAAAATGCTCTTTGAAAAAATTAAGAATTTCTTCTACTTTTTTTTGATTATTCATTCATAATTTTTCAAAACTTCTGCATGACGCAGGACTCAATTAACAATTTCAGATGACGAAAGATGAAAAAAACATGGAGATAACGTTCGAAAGCTAGTACACCCGGGCCTTAAAAACAAAATTGTAAATGTTTTGGGTGTTCATTTTACCCCAGACGCCCATATTGCCTCACCCTCCCCTAGAACTTGAATCAATAATAAAAAATATTAAAAAATCACCACGACTCCTATATCAACATCGAATAAATAAATAGTTTCAATTAAAAATAATTATTTCTATTTTCTCCAGAAAATTTATCAAATGCATATGATGCAACAGCTTCAAAATTCTGGAATAAAAACACTGAATTATTCCTCCATTCGGGATTTAGTGGGAAAAATAATAATTTACTCACGTATTGTTTGTGCATCGCGAGGCAAAAAGTGCAGACCTGGGGTCTCCCCCTGGAATTACCCCAGTGGTGTGGTGGTTCCTCCAGCCTGTGACAGGGCTGATCAATCGGCCCGGATATGAGAACAGCATCCAAATGACTGATGTAAGAACTAGCGAGCCTGAGAGTCTCGATTTTCGATAGCTTCCGGTCTGCAGGCTCTGTCGGAATTAACATCCTCAGAGTACTGAAGGCCGTGTTAACACTGCACATTGAAGACGAGTATTTTTCTTCCGTTTTCCTCCTATTTTCATTCTCTCAATAAATTGATTTGATAGGTTGGTGGCTATACAATAGGGTAAATCAGTAGTAAAAGAGAATGAGTCGTATGCAATTCAAAAATTTTGGTGAGTTTGCCCATTCATCCTTTCTCTGATTCTATTTAAGGGGAGACTACACTGAGAAAAAAAATTTCTAAGAAATAGAAATTCTATGATTGATCCAAATCGTTCATCGATTGAATAGTCGCAAAAGAAAATGCTATTGTAAGACACAAATATCGATTTAATTTTAATGTTTTCTATTGAAAAAGAATGAGATCAGTTATCTAAACTTTTTTTTTGTTACTATCTACTTTTCAGTACATACAAATCAATGTCTGTATTATCAGATATCTTCTTCGAATAAAGCATGTAATTATCAAATTTATCAGCGTCACGATATCCCGCAAAAGAATATTTGTTCGATTGAAAGCAGAATTCAGATGCAATAAAATATTCATTTGGTCTATGAGGAACATATTGTTGGATACTCATTGATGCGAGATTTTCGCGGTGAGAAGTTGCTTCTTCACGACAAACGCAATTCTTCATCATTTGAACTGATTATTTTTCCATTACAATTGTGAAAAAAAAATTATTTGCGCCAAATCTAAAGCGTTTGAACTAAACCAAAATTGAATTGTATGAAATCGATTTTGTCGCAAAAACATGTATTTCCTAAATTCGATAGAATAAACAAAATATACTATACTATAACAAAATCGATTTCATACAATCCAATTTTGGTTTAGTTGAAATCGATATTTATGTCCTACACTAGCATTTTCGAAGCTAAAGGAAAAAAATTAAAATCTAGGATAAAATCTCGAAAAATCACAAAAAAAAATTCTACACCCAATGTGAAACTTTTGGATAAATAATTTTGTTTGGACGCTTTGAATTTATTTTTCCTCGAAAATTTTGCGCAATGAAATCTCAGCGAAAAAGGAAATATTCGCCAACTCCTCTAGTGTCATATATATTTTCCACTGAAATTATGAATAATTTGTTATAAATCACCTGTGGGTCCTGTCGCGTTCACGAGCATTTGCCTGACACCTCTGCCGGCTTCCCATGATGCCCCAAGAATTGAATAAAAAATCCCCAAAAATAATTCCAAACTAATTATTCAAAGACCAAATAATATCAAAGATAATGTAAAAAAAATCAAAGAGATGTCATGTAATTATCGGGATTCTCGCGAGACGCAACTGAAGCTGGAGATGTTGACTCGATAACTCCTGACACTCGAGTGAAAACCCTCGACTTTTCGTGATCTCATTTAGTCTCATAACAAGTGGATGATCCATGACTCCCTTCCTCTTTTCTCTCTCATTCCCACCAGCGGGATACGCCTGGGTTTCACATTACCCAGGCTAATAAAAACATTGGGATGCTGAGTGTCTCATTTTTGTGAGAAAAAAGCCCAACATCTGGGAAATTAATAACTGTCATCATTCATTCAAAAAAATATTGGAAACAGAAGTAGAAGAACTCAGAATCGAAAAACGTGTGCATCGATTCTATTTCGATCTGAATTTTTTGGAAATATCTGGGGATTGAGGGGAGATGACAGAATTTTCATTAAGACCGTTTTTATGGAGCGGAATGAGGACTACAAAAAAGGTCCAGATCAAAATTTTGCTATCTCCCTTCAATGTTGAGATATTTTAAAGGAAACGTCAGGGAAAATGACTACCCAATTTAGAAGTTTTTCTAAAAATGTTCAAGGAATAAACGTGTGACATCGCTTTTTTATATAAGATATTTGTTCCCCCTTAAGGGTCAATTTGACTCGTAATCCTGAACGTCCTTAAGGGTCGTTTTTGACCCTCGATTCCAAGCGTCTTTGGGGGAACTTTGACCCTCAAAACCCATTTGACCCTCAAGTTGAAATGTCCTCAAAGGTGATTTAACCCTCAAAAACCCCTTAACCCTCAAATACAAAAGTCCTTGAGGAATGTTTGACCCTCAATCCCAACCATCATTGATCGTCGTTTGTCCCTCAAAACCATCACTCTCTCTCTCTCACCCCCCAAAAATAATCACAAGGTTTCCAAACATCCACAAAATTAATGATAGTAGGGTCATTTTATCTTCAACTGCAAACGTTGTTAAGGGTCATTTGACCCTCAATTCCAAACATTTTTAAGGATTATTTGACCCTCAACTCCGAACTGAGGGTCATGTGACCCTCAATTCCCAACATTTTTAAGGGTCATTTTACCCTCAACTTCAAACGTCCTTAAGGGTCGTTTGACCTTCAAAACCCTGTGACCCTCAATTCCAAACGTCCTTGAGGGTTATTTGACCCTAAAAACGTCTTAACCGTCAAAAAGAAAAGTCCTTGAAGAATGTTTGACCCTCAAAACCATCAGACACACTCTCCCTCTCTCTCTCTCACCCCTCCCAAAAATAATCACAAGGTTTCCAAACATCCACAAAATTAATGATAATTAACTGCACAATTTTATTGGTCATTCATCACCATTAAAAAAATGGTCATCTATAATAAAAAATCACTCCCCCAGTTTGTATGAAATCTTTACTTACTTCTTTTCACTTTTTTTTGTTTTTAACAACTAGATTACATAGAATATCATTTTTTTATCTTAATACAATGTACACGCACCCCAACCCATGTGGTCACGATGCATTCGATTAAAAACCAGGGGGGAAAAATAAACTCAGACAGTAGAGAAAAAGAAAATAACTATTGTTTCGCAATAATCAATTTTTTTCGCGTCTACGAGGCGATTAACGTTGCTCTACAAACTTTTAAAAACTTTGGTCACGTTTACTAAAACGAAATATTCATTGGGAAATTTAATTAAAATTTTTTTACTAATTAAGAAGTACTGCCTAAAGCCCCGCTACATGTACAATTTTCACTCAATTTAATTTAAATTGTCTCAACGATTTTTTTTTCAAAAGAAAAAAAAATGAAAATGCCGATTGTTTTCATGGCTTTTCACGCAAATTGTTTCATGTAATTAATTAATTAAATTAATTGGAGCGACGAAAATGCCTCGAGCTAATTTAAATTCATCTAGACAATATAATCACACCTAGAGTTAACATAAGATTATTAAATTAATTATCCATAAATTAATAGTTAAAAAAAATCATTTCATTGAATTTACAATTAGTCTAAAATAACAGTGACATTCGCGAAAGGATAAGCAATTTAATTAAATTATTTAATTAATCTACCGTGACCCCACTTTTTATAATTTTTTTTTTCACTTAATTATTAGTCTATACCTTCGTATGCAGTCTCCTTTGTCGTATTTACATTAGACAATATTACAAGACACTGAATTGTTGATTTTTTTGTTTTCAGCGTCGAAATATACGTACACACGTAAATAGTTAAAAGGGAAACGCAAAATTAATAATTTCGTTCGATTCTCCTGACTGGCTAATCATTTATTCTCTTTTATACTTTTACGTGGAATTGAGAGGATTGTGTGATGATGGGGAAGAATCTTCAGTGTGGAATAATTTTTTGATTTCTGTTTCAAGATTTTTGTTTTTTCGCCTTCAGGAGAAATCGCACGAAAGTCTTGGGCTTTTTTTTTTATATATATATATAAATTTTTTATGATAATCTAGAAAATTAAGGTCGTGATCCACGGGCCGCCTCTTCCAGGGCACGAACCTTCAGCTCACGCTCCCGTTGTTGTCTGGAAAATAATGATGAAGATGATTATAATAATTTTTTAATGAGGGGAAAACTTTGGGATGTGAATTCTCAAAAATTCGAAAAAACAATCACAAGGGTTGTTTGACCCTCAACTTAAAATGTTCTCAACGGTCGTGTAACCCTCAAAATCAATTGGCCGTGAACTAAAGACAAAAGAAATAAAATTCTGACGCTCAAATACAAACGTTTTTAAGGGTCATTTGACCCTCAATTCCAAACATTTTTAATGGTCATTTGATCAACTCCAAAAGTTTTTAGAGTCATTTGACCCTCAAATCCAAACGTTTTCAAGGATCATTTGACCCTTAATTCCCAACATTTTTAAGGGTCATTTGACCCTCAACCCCAAATGTTTTTAAGGTCCATTTGACCCTCAACTCCAAAAGTTTCTAAGGATTGACCCTCAATTTCAAACGTTTCTAAAGGTCATTTGACCCTCAATTCCCAACATTTTTAAGGGTCATTTTACCCTCAACTCCAAATGTTTTTAAAGTCCATTTGACCCTCAACTCCAATAGTTTCTAAGGATTGACCCTCAATTTCAAACGTTTCTAAGGGTCATTTGACCCTCAATTCCCCAAGTTCTTACGGATCGCGTGACCCTAAAAGAAAATAGCATGTAAATCAAACCTGATATACTCCTCGTGATGCATCAACGATGCATGAGGTGGAAATCTCTCCCTCTCCAACATGAGATGACGTTGAATTTGCTCATGATGAACAGCCATATCGGCATAGGGTCTACCCAGGAGTTCAGCGGGATGTAAGCCCAGGGATGGATCTCTGGGCATCATCCCAGGTCTCGGGTAATTCGCACTGGCAGCGGCTGTTCGAGATAAAAATTCCAAAACACCTTTTTTTAATTCATTAAACTCTGAATTACATTTCACTAGTGAAATGATAAAACATGACGCGTCAATTTGACTTTAGAACAGAACATTTTCGTCGAATTTGAATTGAACGTCAAAATACCGTTTTAGTTTTTCGTGAATATCTCAGAATCTAGGGGAGATAGGGGATTTTTGCACTTGACCGTTTTCATAGGGCAAGTTGCGAGCTACATGAAAGGTCATGAGGAAAATTTTCCTATCTCAATTCATTTCTGAGATAATCCCGGAAAACCGTTCTAGAGTCAAATCGACTTATCTGTTTCACCCCTTCACTACTGATTTTTCCAATGGTTGTTAGAAAATTAGGATCTTTGTTGAATAAAACCAGAAATTTTGGGGTCCAACGACCTGAGGAGAAGCCGTTTGTCCCTCCTCACGTCATTCCCTCCGAAAATTCCTCGAGGAAATCAAGCAGAGGCTCCAGATTAGTCCAAAATTCTCCAATCACACCAATTCACCCAATTAACCCATTCACTCAATGCCATCCACTCCCCAAAAATCTTCATCATCTCTTCATCGTCAACACCTCTCACGCATACGCAATTTAGAAAAGCCAAGGAAGACTTTAGAGACAAACAAAAAAAAACAGAAATTTAATGTGTAAACATCATGCGTTTTGTTTACGAGAAAATGCCAAATTGTTAATTAGAAATATCTTGGATATTATTGGAAGGGGGTTGAGACCTGTCGCATTCAAAATCGGAAGTCTCAATGACTTCTCACTAATTTCCCAGATATTCCAATTATTAAGCCTCGGGAATTAAAAAAACTGCTGAAATGCGGAGAAAACTAGGCGCCACGAATTCTCAGCCAAAAGGGGACAAAAAAATCTGAGAAAGATAACTTGAAAAATTTGTTCATTTTGTAGAAACTGAATGAAACGAATGAAAAAGATACCGAGGAGGTTAAATAATTCAAAGAAATGTTCAAAAATACGAGGTGGACACGCCGCCATCTTTGTTGGATACCCCCTCCCTCTGCCGCAAGTGGCTTCAAACATGGCGGCGTTCCCACCTCGTGTTTTCAAACATTTTCAAAATTTATTTGTCCTCATCAGATCGCCCTCAACTCACTCCATCTGGTTTCTACAAAATGAACAAAATTTTTAAGCCATCGTTCAGAATTTTCCACACTCTTGTGGCTGAGAATTCATGGCGCAAAGTTTTCCTCGCATTTCAGCCGTTTTCCGTCTTCACTCGCGAGACCTCTTGTTATCGGGGCAACAGCATCTCTACTCGGTACCCCAATGCCCACCCGCTTGTCCTTTCACCCCGCCCGAAATCCCGGGACGACTCCACTAAAACTTCCAATATCGCGTGCTCAGATGTTTACACATCGTTAAAAAAAAAACACGTAATGTTCCTATTTTTTTTTCTGTTGTTGCTCTGTTTCTGGGAGGATTCAGACATACCAGGCAGGGAAAATCCAGCGGCTACGGCAGCCGCCTCCTGCTGTTGCGCCGCCTGTTGCTGTTGTTGTCCCGGATGTAGGTGCAAGTGGGTATGCGCGTGCGTATGCGCGTGAGTGTGAGCATGATACTCGGGTGAGATGCCAGCCATCTGAAGCCGGACCATCGGGTCGGCAGCCAGAGCCAGTCGCTCATCAAGCTGTCCATGATGATGTACCGGAACAGGATGGCCGGCCCCTCCCCCCGTTGGCCCCCCTCCGCCTCCAGTAGGTATCCCTAAACCCGTTGTTTTTGTTTTTTTCACATGTTTTACCCAATTTATCCACAAACGATTCACTCATTGATTAATCTGATTGATTTTTACATTGATTCAACTTATTACCAGGGAGGAAACCTAGGGCATCATGATGATTTTGTACCCTAGTCTGATGTTCTCGATACAGTAGAACCTAGCAGTTCGCATACTTTGCACACCGCACGACCTAGCTATTTGCATAATTTTCCTGTTGCTTCTTCACCCCCTCCAATACTCCCTACTTCCCCGACGCTCGTTCTAATGAACGAATCAGATGTCAGTACTGAGCGGGACAATTGAGAACCATCATGAGAATGAACTAGGTAGCTCTCGTAACTTGAAAACGAACACCGATGAGAAAATTATTAGTAATACAGTGGAATCCCTCTAATCCGCCAGGCTCGGGACCTGTCCTTGACTGTTCTTCTCCGAAAAGCTGTATTAGAGGATTTCCACCACTACCCCAGATTGTAGGGGGATGTTAGAGAATGGAAGGGAACTTTGTCTTTTCTTTCGTACACTTGGTGTGTGTTCACTCTGCCACTGTCTCAATTTTTCTTCCTTTTTCAATTACGATTTTACAGTTTCTTCACTGATTTTCAAATTCTCAGCGATAGCACCAATCGGAGTATCACGCGTTCCACATTATACCCCTCGTGACCCTCAATCCGACCCTTGTGGCCCTTATTCCGACCCTTTTTTTCATAATATGCAAACAGCTAGAGCGAAAATGTGTAAACAGCTAGATCCCTATGCGTTTTTGCAGTATGAACTGCAAAAAAGCGAAATGCGAACTGCACTGAGAGAAAAATCGAGATAATATCACAGAAATCACTTCTTGAGCGAAAAACATTGCATACATATTTGATCAATTTATGGTAGGTTTCAGACAAGAAATCGGGGCTCTTCGCACTAAGGAGAAAGTTACTGAATGAAATAGTATATTTCAGGGCGGGTGTCATGGGGTTTTTTACTCGTGTGGCGTTGGCCTCCGAGCCGTAGGCGAGGACTGGCCAACCACACGAGTAAAAAAATCCCATCGCAACAGCCCAGGAACAATATTTTTCTGTAGTGATTTTCAAGTTTTCGAGTTTGGGCAGTAGTAATACCAATTCCCAGACGAGAAATCGTGAGAAGCAGTACAGAAAAGAAATTATGTCTTTTTTCAAAATGAGATAATATTCTGTAAAAGACAAGAATAGTTTGACAGAAGGAAAAGAAGATATTGCTTCCCTTCGAATTCAAAGCGATTGAGCGTGAGTGACGGTTATATTTTTTTAATACCTGGAGATTTTCCTCTGCATGAAATCTCTATTCATTCAATATGAAAGTCTATGATTCATGATTCACTGAATCGAAGCTTTTAATATTTTTAGTCAGTTTCTCATCTTCTTACGCAAAAAAGCCCATTTCTTGTGGCAAGAATTTCCCACTTTATCATGAAATGTTCATGTTCAACTCATGAATACTTCACCGAAATTTGACATTGTCTGACACATTATCCGGAATTGTTATCCCAAGAAATTAATCCTCAAAAGATGAGATATTTGGCGCAAGAAATCAGTAGCGAAGCGGTAAACCGAGTCAAATCGGTTTTGACTTTTGGCCAGTTTTTATGAATATCTCAGAATCTAAGAGAGAAAGCAAAATTTTTCTCATAACCCTTTTTACAACCCTCTCTTGACTCTACAAAAAAGGTCATGACAAGAATTATTCTATCTCTTTTAGATGCCGAGATAGTCGTCAAAAACTGGCCAATAGTGAAAATCGACTTGACCCGCTTTACCGGTTCGCTACTCAAATTTGTTTTGTGATATTATGACGATATTCATCTGAGTGTGCTAAGTTCTACTGTACTCCTTTCACCTAACTAGAGATGTGAGTGAAATAATGCCCACACAACAGTGGTCATTTAACCCGATCCCCCCTGCTAACAATTGAGTCTTCCCCACCGATTCATCCCTCCATCCACACCCATCCATCCATCAGTCACACCAGTCCCAATCCCCATAAACCCTTACCTAATCTCTCTAGCCTCTCTCGATCCAGCTGACTGGGTCCAGGTGGCGCCCCATAGATCCCAAACTGATGAAGCCCCTGGGGAGGGCCACTGGGCCCGGGTGCAAGTCCCGCCGCGGCATACCGCCTCTGCATCTCCATCCAATGGGCGTCAATGGGTCCGGGCATGGCCCGGGGGCTCCCCTTCATGAGTTCCTCCTTCAGCCGATCGTTGAGCTCCCTCTCCCTCAGCTCACGTATCTCCCGCTCCCTCTTCTCCCTCTCCATGTGCTCCAGCTCCATCCTCTCCCTGGCCCCGGGCCCATACATATAATGCAGCATTGGGTCCGGTGGGGCTGGATGCCTCGCGGGACTGAAAGCCGCGTGTGGTCTCGCGTATTCCGACAATTGTCTGAGTGCTGGGGTGTCGGCATAAGTCGGCCTTGCGGCATACCTGTCGTACGGCGACACCACGGGCTCCATTGGGCCCCTCGACGGTGGCTTGCAGACCTCCGGCTGCTTCTCCGGTGTCGACATCTTCCGCGCATGCTGCGCTGCCCTGTCCCTCTCCTCCCTCTCCTTCTCCGCTTGTTTTCTACTTCGTTCCTCCCTCTTCCTCGCGAGCTTGGAATCAGGCACTGGTTTAAACATCAGATCAGTCCTGGTGCACGAGTTGTTCTCCCCTCGGTTCCAATGTCTCAGGAAGATTGCTGACTGTGACCTGTGGCACTCCGAGTCCTCAATCCTGGGTTCTGGTGATGGTCCTCGTGGGCTCGGTGGCTCCTCCGGCTCGGGCTCCATGATTTCCTCGATCTTCGGCTCAATCGCTGGTGGTGGTGGTCCCGTCGGCTGACCCGATGGCCCCCGGTGATGATGATGAACCGATGATGTCGATGTCATGCAGGATGACACCATCGGTTTACTCCTCTGGTTGTGCTGTGAGTGGGAGGATGAGTGACTGTGAGACGAGTGTGAGGATATGCTTAATAGCTTGTCATGATGGAGAGTTGTTGCCTGATGAAGACTTGATGAATGATGATGCGTTGCAATGAGGTTTTCACCCTCTTCCCTAGTGGTCACGCTGGAGCTTGTGCTTGAGTGGTGTGCCGTCATCATAGTTGTTGATTCCTGACTTCTCTGGGGGCTCGGTGGGGGTATAGCGTGGGGAACGGGGGCGTAGGGGTACGGTGGGAAGCTGGGGTAGGTACCCACCGGTGGGTATCCAGGGTAGGCGTGTGGGTGGTAAGGATGCATCGCTGCGAACAACGAGTGATGCATCAGAGGGTGGTGAGGGTGAAAGCTGTGAGCCATGTGAGGACTTGGCTGTTGACTTGGATGCATAACAGGCTGGGGAATTGATGTTGGTGGGGGTAATGAGGGAGTGGGTGATGCTGCCACTGATTGAATCTGCGGGACATTCTGCTGAGGTGGTGGATGTTGGTGTTTTGATGGGGTTGGAGGCTTGATGCTGGCGTCGGGATCCTTCTTGATGTTGTCGAGAGTGGGGCCAGGGAAGCCTGGCTGATACCCTGGCACTTTGACTTCCTTGAGACTCTGGAGAGGATCAGGCTCTGGGGGTATGATTTCCTGTTTGATCTTGAGATTCTGGGGCTCCAGGGGTGGAGTGCAAGCCAGACTGTATATCGCTGGCTTCTCGGGTGGCAAGGGGGACGGTTGAATTGGCTGAAAGAGGGCCGGCTCTGGCGGACGCTCTTGAGGCTCTTGTTGATCCAAACGATCTGATATTCGATCTGGTAATCTTCGGTCTGGAATTCGGTCCTCGGGGAGTCTATCGGGTAGCCTAGAGTCTTGTGGGGGCAGGGTTAGTCCTAGTGGTTGGGGTGAAGCTGGCATTTGGGAGATTTGCGAGAGGTTCTGGGGAATGTTGAGATTCAGGGGGGGCACCGACATGTTTTGGGGTAATTGTTGCACCTCCGGTGTGTGATTTGATAGATTTTGAGGTGGAAGCAAGTCTCGTGGGGGTATACTTGGGGGAATTGGTTGGGGTATACTCTGGGGGATTTGTATCGATTGGGAGAGGTTTTGGGGGACGTTTTGGGTGGGAGGTACTGGCGTTGGGTATTGCATGTTTAGGGGCATTTGTTGGGGGGGTTGGGGTAGAGAGACTGGTGGAAGGCTCTGGGGTATTCCAGGTGTTATCAATACAGGATTGTTCATTGATTGAGATAGATTTCTTGGTATGTTTTGGGATAAGTCACTTATTCCCATTGGTTGAGATGTCACTAGGGCTTGAGGCTGTTCAGGCTCATTGGGCTCTTCCTTGATCGGTGACATCTCGGGTTCACTTGGCACTGGCTCAAGCTTCAGGGGAAGTGGTTGCTTGATGCTAATTGGTGAGTCTTCAGGTTCTGCCTTAACCTCTGGCATTTCATCGATAATGGGTTTCTTATCGAGAGTGTGAATAACAGGAACATTTATTGGTAATGTGGGAACAGTGATTGGTAGTGGAGTTGATACAGGTGGTGGTTCAGCAGACTCTTCTTGCTGTTCAATTGGTGAGCCTGACTCGTCTGGAACAGCTGGTACAACTGGTTGCTCACTGTTATCAATTTCGTTCTCCCTTTCAGGCTCATCCATGAGGGAATTTGAATCAGTTGTGAGGGACTCTGATGGACTGTCTGGACTACCTCTCTTACGTTTCTGAGTATCTTTGTCCTCCTCAGGCTCTTCTGGGGGCCTCTTTTGGCCCTTCTTTGGAGTCTCCACCTTGGCTGTAGTACTGGATTTTTTCTTTTTATCAGGTGTCGCTTGATTAGAGGCTTTCTCCTGTTTCTCTTGATCTGGTGTATCAGTACCACCGTTACGACGTGGTCGCGATGGCCTTGGGGTTTCTTTAGCTTTATTACGCGTTCGCATTCTACCTGGACTGTCTGGTGATTCCGCTGGTACCGGACGAAATAGGTATGGCTGAGCTGGGGGTAATTCCCCAGTTTTCTTCAAATGCGAACGACATTCTAAGCACAATAGGAGACGATCTTTGCCAGCTATTTGGTAATCCTTGGAGGTTGTTGAGAAACAGTGCTGGCAGGATCTCTCGAATGCTGAACCGTTGGTATTTGTATCCCTTGAATCACTGTCCTCCTCGGAATTATCGTCCTCGGTGACAGAACTTACCTCACCACCAGGATTACTGTTGTTATTTGTCGTGGTTGTATTTGAGCTTGCCGAGGCACCGACTGGCGGTGTCTCGGGCTCGTTTGTCGTCTCTTTAGCGCTCGTCGTGTTTGGGGGCGTTGATTCTTTGGGGGCTGGGGCCTCCTCTTTGGGAGTACCAGCGCGAGAATTACGAGTATTACGAATTCTACGGAGTGAGCCTTGTCTACGACGTCGATGGGGACGATTGTTATTAGCACCTGGGGTCTTTTTCCACAGATAATAGAACTCAACGATTTCAGGTGTATCTTTGTGCGGTAATAGGTCTTTACGAATGCGCGAAAAATTCTTGCCAAATTGACGGAGTCCTTTGACGAAACGCTTCTGTTATTGGGGGGAAAGAGTTTCATTTTTTTTAGAGGGATTGTGCGTTTAAACGAAACTTAAGGTACTTCCTCAGTCAGTTGAATGGGGACAATGGGAAATTTTGAGAAATATGACCTCTTAGTTTTTTTATCACTTGTCTGTAAAGAGAAACCCCACTTTCCATACATTGTGATGAAAAATAGGGTTTGACACACGTGGGAAAAGTGTTACTTCACTCTTGGAGAGGCTATTTGTTTTTTTTTTATAATAAAAATATCATTAGTACAGCGTTTCATTAGAGTCGCATTTCAACTGTCCAGATGTTGGATACTAGCAATCCAAATATGCGATTTACAGTATCAAGAACATTCTAAAAATATACCTCTGTAATTTCATAATTTGTTGCCACGTAGATTTTGAGAAATAATTGAAAATGCATGACAGAATCATGAATGTTCATTAGAAAATTCATGGGAAAAATGGTAGCTTAGTATAGGCTCATATCATATCGAAGCACAATAACACCAAGTTCATCTGTTACGAAGATGCCTCGTTGCCCGATCTCCGACGATAGTTTCAATTAATTAATACATTGATTTTTTTAAAATGAGCATGAAGATACACTGAGAGAAAAACAAATACGTTCTCGAACAAGTCTTGTTTGGGCCAACAAAATCGCTAGTTGAAAATTGTCAAAAAAGAACATGTTTGGTTCGAATAGAAAAAGTCTCAAATATGAATGATTGCTCTGCTCAGCGGAGCGGTAAAACGATTCACGTCGACTCATCTCCCAATTGAGTTTTTGAGGAATATTTCAAAATTTAAGGGAGATAGCGAAATTTTCGTAATGACATTTGTTGTAGCTCTCAATTGGCTCTACAAAAAAGATAGTAACAAAAATTTTGCTATCTCCCTTAGGTTCCGAGATATTCATTGAAAACGGGTCAATAGTCAAAATTGATTTGTACCGTTTTACCATTTCGCTACTGATTTGGTTCATGAGGCGGATAATTCACAAGAGATGGTGCCTTTTCAGAATGAAAATATCTCATATAGAGGAAAATTTATCAAAAAATATTTTGTCCTCAAATTTCAATATTGCTATCATATCATTATTATTGTTTCATTTAAGGGTTCATTTCTTGACTGTGATTATTAGATAGCCAAAACGAAAATCTACTATCCCTTGTTTCACATAAAATGAACATTTTTGTGTGCATGCAAACGACATTTCTTGCGTGTACAGAAAAATGCAATTTTTTTCAAACTACTAAATCTATTTTTGCGACAAAAATTATTCACTTCGGCGCACTCTCTGCATGTTTGACACAAAAAAAAAATCCTTTTTTTCTTGGCGCAAGTAAGACTTGTTTGAGAACTCTGTCATTTTTCTCTCATTGTAGTCATCAGTTTAATAATTACGAGTCATAAATAAAAAAGAACCATTAAAATTTTCAATGTCTACCCCCACAATCAGAGGAAGTACCTTAATGACTAAAGGATTATAGCGAAACTTACAGTCTCTTCCTCGGACCATTTTTTATCAATGCCTTTGGGTACTGGACACTTGACGAGTGCTTGAAGTGCTCTACCAGGATCATATCCAGAATCATGGAGTATATCGAGTGCATTAATTGTCGTATCGTCTCTGGATGCTGCAACGCAACCATCGTCTGGTGAGCCTCCATCACACATACCAGCGAAAGCTGCCATTGAACGTGCAGCCCTCAGGTACATGACGAGATCTCCGTCTAACGACATTGCTGGTATCCATCTTAATTCTTCTCTTTCCTTTATAAATTCAGGATCTGGTTGTAGTTCAGCTGGTGGTACGCCCGGCCGGTACTCAGGCAAACGGGCCTGGCAAGAAACCAATTCCTGTACACCAGAATTTTTATGGTTTTCGAAACGGCGGTTAGCACTGATGCAAGCGAATTAGTCATTCATTAGTGGCCATTGTTGTCTTTAAAGAATGCTGTTGTTAAATTTTAAAATGGGATAGCAAACGCACCACGGGGGCTTGATTGGAGCAATCAGAGGTACATTTCACCGTGACTGTCAACCACTAGAGACTAGTGTCATGTTTGCTCGTCTTTTTAGTCGTCAACCTGTTGTGATTGGAAGATTCTGGAGTTGAGAGGTCGGTGGAGATGAATGGAGACAAAATTGTCAATGTGCCAGGATCAAATGATACGATTTTTATGGATTTTAGAAGGTTGATTGAACACGACGAGAGGCTAGTTGATTATCATGATTTCGTTCGTTTTCTGAAATTCTTCCTCCTCATGAAGCTAAAACTATCGGAATATTCAATTCAGGGGATTTCCAAGAGTGTGAGGGACAAACAATCGCATGAATAAGTGTTTTTCAACCGCAAACGGGTTTGTACATGGCTTAAAATTATTTGGACACCCTTAGCTTCGCTTAAGACGCCTCGGGAGTAAAAAAAACTACTGAAGTGGAAAATTTTGAGCCATGAATTCTCAACCAAAAGGGGACGGAAAAATCTAAATGATAGCTTGAAACATTTATTCAATTGCTAGGAGCTCAATCAAACGAGTTGAAAATGATCTGAAGTGCATGAATAATTATAAGAAATGTTCAAAAATGCGAGGTGGTAACTAGATGTGGCCGACACCATCTTGCTTGGATACCCCGCGCCCTCTGGCGGAAGGGGATTTAAAGATGAAGCGCCCACACCTCGTTTTTTTAAACATTTCGATATATTACTTATCCTTTGGCCATTTAAATCAAATGTTTCGATAATTTCAGCTCCATTTCTTCCTCTTTCCTCCACAATCTTCTGTATTCTCATCACAGTACGAAAGTGCCTAGAGAATTAAGGATATCCAAGTGGGACAGTCCTCACAATGGAATAATCTTCTGAAAAATTACATTTTTGGGCTTTTCATCATCACAAAATCATTATATCATTTTAATTTACAATTCAGTCAATTTGCCATTTGTCCAAAAATGTAATTCTTCGAGAACCAAATTCATTGGAGTAAATCCTGCAATACAATAGTTTCCACATAAACCTCTCATAAATCTTTCCCGCCCGCCCCAAATATTCCAATCACCACCCAACCGCCCACCCACCCGGAGTAAATCCACCGGAAACAGGTCAACGATAAAAAAGCATCCAAACCATCCAAATAAAAGAATAAAATAAAGGAACCCTCTCTAATCGGTCCAACAAGCCTCAACTGTTCGGTACGGAGAAAAATCCAATGAAATTGGAGTGAATTTTTTTGAATAAACTACAATAAAATGATCATTTTCACCAGAATCTAGTGAAAATTCATAACAAAAGTGTACTTTGTATCACAATAAATAATAAATAAAAATTTTGAAAATTCATTGAAGGATTTTTCTTTATGACTCATGTGTCATGAAAATAAATTAAATTTGTCTGATATTTTTTTTGCTATTGAATTTATGCCAAACCTGGTGCGATGGACCGACCCGAATCTCCCCCTGGGTGCCGGCGGACATCTCCCCCTCCTCCGTCGCTCCGACGTCTTTCTCCAGTGTTATCGACTGGGTTGTATTCGATATCTTGTATTTATTTGGTCAATTAATTTAAATCCTTTTTTTAACTACTAAACCCCTGAACCGAATTTAAATCAAAGGTAGAATGACAACTCTACCCAAAACAAGCATTGGGTTGAAAACTACTCATCTTCAAGGGTACCCTGACAAATCTACCGAGGGTCAAGTATACCAAGAGATCAATATACTGCAGAATATGAGCCCATTTGATAATACATAAGAGTTTATTGGACTAATTGGGGTGGAAGAATGATGTAAAGAAGATATAAAAAGTAGTGAAGTGGAAAATGTACCGGTGATCATGGCTACCCTACATTCCCCAGTCATCGTGAATCTACCGATTTATGAATGGAACTGCCGTGTAATTTTGTAACATCGCTATGCAGCGACGAGGCTACCATGGCCTGTGCGATAACGAGTCTACCAGACATATCTATCGGTAGAAATCTACCGGTTGTCAAATCTACCAATTATGTCAATATCAATCGTAATTTTCTTATTTGAAAGAATGATCATAATTGGTAGATTTAATTACTGGTAGATTTATATGTCGGTAGATGTTTTATCCAAATATTGGTATAAGTCACGTGCGGTAGAGCTGTGATGGTTGGAAAAGTGCGATCGTCGGTAGATTTATTATTTTCACGTGTCAATTGATTTCTGTAACTCAGCTGACCATAACTCTACTCACATATGAATCTACTGATAATCTACCGGTCGTCAAATCTACCCATTATGTCCATCTTAATTTTTTTATTTGAAAGACTGATTATAATTGGTAGATTTCATTATCGGTAGATGTATATGTCGGTAGACATTTTATCCATGTAGAGTTGTGATGGCTGGAAATGTGGGATCGTCGGTAGATTTATCATTTTCACTTATAAATTTATTTCTATAACTCAGCTCTACCATAACTCTACTCACATATAAATCTACCAATAATCTACCGGCCGTCAAATCTATCCATTATATCCATCTTAATTTTTTTATTTGAAAGACTGATTATAATTGGTAGATTTCATTATCGGTAGATGTATATGTCGGTAGACATTTTATCCATGTAGAGTTGTGATGGCTGGAAATGTGGGATCGTCGGTAGATTTATCATTTTCACTTATAAATTTATTTCTATAACTCAGCTCTACCATAACTCTACTCACATATAAATCTACCAATAATCTACCGGCCGTCAAATCTATCCATTATATCCATCTTAATTTTTTTATTTGAAAGACTGATTATAATTGGTAGATTTCATTATTGGTAGATGTATATGTCGGTAGACATTTTATCCATGTAGAGTTGCGATGGCTGGAAATGTGGGATCGTCGGCAGATTTGTTATTTTCACGTGTAAATTTATTTCTGTAACTCAGCTCTACCGTAACTCTACTCACATAAGAATCTACCGATAATCTACCGGTCGTTAAATCTACCAATTGTGTCAATCGTATTTTTTTTATTGGAAAGGATAATCACAATTGGTTGATTTATATGTAAGTAGAGTTGCTAGCCATAGCCCCTAGTAGATTTTCATTTTCCACTCGGTAGACTTTTTGCAATACCCATGAACATCAGTAGAGTCACTAAACTTGTTCCTTGTAGAGTTGTTATTCTACAAACCTAATTTAAATCAAACATTTCTCAACAAAAATATAAAAAAAAAACATCTTCAAATAATGATATTAAAGAATAAAACATCAAGAATTTACACATGCGGGCCGATGAAACTCATAACAAAGATAAATAAATAATCGACTATTCATCGTAATATTTCATAATTAATGTGGTCATTAGTCACGGTGAAAGGCCCACAGAGAGCCCACCACATATGGAAAAATAATCTTTAAATAAACACATCTAATCCGATAAAATAAATTATTCAAAAAATTACTCGTTGCAGAGGGATATCATCAACACCGACAATTAATAATTAATCCAGTGGTAAAGGGGCTGAGACTGGGTAGCCGAAAAAAAAAAAATTTCGGACGTGGGAGGAAGCAACGCCAGTCACGGGAGGTGGAAAAACAGTGTGAAAAATCTACCAATAAATCAAACAATTTAATTCTCTCGTATTTAATCGTCAAACACGACAACTCAATTGGAATTTTTTCATCTCTCGATTGATAATTAGTGACAAAACTTACTCGTGAGTTACTCGTGTTGTTGGTGATGTGTTTTTAGCATTGTTTTCCAGTCTACAACTCACACCTGGAGGCACCACACACGTGATTCTTCGGTTTATTTGTCACTAATAATGTTATTGAATTTGTTTCAGCAGTTGATAGTCAACTTTTTTACGATTTATTTAGCACTATTTTTGGATTTTTGGGGATTTAAGGAGCAACAACACGCACTCAGTGGCCACAACACCCAAACGCAGCCATCTTGTACTGCGTTTTGTTTCGTTTTTCTTTTGTGGGGGTGCGTTCCAGTTCCAAATTCCCCTATTTTTCCACTGATTTTCGGGCGGTTCGTCGGTTTCAGGCGTTTCTTAGGTTCACGGAAGCTTGTCGAAAGGGGGGAGGGGGAGGAGTAAGACGACACGGCCAGACACGGCAGAGGACAGATGTTGTTGCGGCCCGTTGCGGTCTCTTTTTCGAGGTTTTTAATTGTTCTCCATTGGGGATCGACGGCTTTTTGAGAGGTCAACGCACGTGAAACGGGAGCTTCGAGGGGGGAAGAATTATTCGCCATTTTGGGGAAATTTGCGAAACAGAGGACGTGATTGCGACGGTTCGAGAGGGTCAAAGGTGAGTTTTTAAGGTGTTCAGGGGTTTTCTTGGGGGTTTTTGGGTTTGCGTGGGTTTTAAAGGGTGGGGGCGGGGGTTTCGAGTGAGGGGAGGAGATTTTTCAGAGGTTGAGGGTCTGGGGAGATGGGAGAGTGAGGATCAACCTTTGAACCCTTTTTTTGCGCGATTTATGTGGAATCATTCAGTGGAAAAATAACAATCGGGGATCGTTTTGGAGGAAATGCGTTTTAGTTTTTATTTATTTTGTCATTTAATTGATTATATTAATGAATACATTAACTGACTGTTAAATGATTAGAAAAAGTTTAGAAAATTGATGCCCAAGTATTCTTATAGAAAAAATATCAAGAGAAAAATTCAAACAGAAATTCGAAATCTATTGACTTTTTCTTATTGAATATCCAATAGAATCAGCGCAAACAACAAATAGAATTTTTCAATAGAATTCTAATAGAAATCCTATAGAAACCCCATATAATTTCTATAGAATTTTCTAGCGAATTCGCTAGGTTTTTCATTGAATTTTTTCATGCGTGCCCCTCCGGGTCTCCCCTTGGGCCTTGCTCTAGACTTTGGATTTTGCTGTTTCATTTTCTTTTCAATTAACCATTGACAAAATCTTCACCCGTCAAAACTTCTCAATAATTTTCTATTCTACTGAATGGAAAATTATTATTCTCAGCAGTATTTCCAAGAATAAAAAAAATATTTAATAAACAAACTTGTTTTTTGCTTGCATTGCGTCAAACAGTGTTTTTTCTGACTGCTTCATTTTTCCCCACTCTCCCCTACTATTTTTTAATTGTAACGAGTATATTTCAGTAGCGAAGTGGTAAAAGAGATAGTCAATTTTGACTATTGCCCAGTTTTCAATCAATATCTCGGAATCTAAAGGAGATAGTGGAATTTTTGTTATGACCTTTTTTGTAACCCCGATTGAGAGCTACAACAAATGTAATTACGAAAATTTCGCTATCTCCTTTAGACTCCGAGATATTGACTGAAAACTGGTCAATAGTCAAAATGGACTCATTTCCTTTTACCATTTCGCTACTGATTTAAACCTTTATCAATGTGAGCCGGAAATCCTTTTAATATTGAAGAGATGTAATATTGATGGCCATTCCTGCTCCTCTCCAGAGCCAAAAAAAAATGTCAGACTCTCTTCGTTTTGACGGGAAAGTCGTCGTGGTAACGGGTGCGGGCGCGGGTTTGGGTCGAGCTTACGCCCTCCTCTTCGCATCCCGAGGTGCCAAGGTAGTGGTGAATGACCTCGGTGGAGGGCGTGACGGGGATGGTAGCAGTACCAAAGCAGCTGACACAGTAGTCACCGAGATCACCTCGGCTGGTGGTGTGGCAGTCCCGAACTACGACTCGGTCCTCGATGGCCAGAAGATCATTCAAACGGCAATCGCCAACTTCGGACGGATCGACATCCTGATAAACAACGCAGGAATCCTGCGAGACAGATCCTTCCTGAAGATGACGGACCAGGACTGGGATCTCATCCACGATGTGCACGTCAAGGGCTCCATGCTGACGACCCGAGCAGCCTGGCCTCACTTTCGGAGACAGAAGTACGGAAGAGTCATCTTCACGTCTTCCAACAGTGGAATGTACGGGAATTTTGGACAGCCAAATTACTCGGCTGCTAAGATGGCTCTTGTGGGGCTGTCCAACACTTTGGGTGAGATGAAAGCTCAATTTTTTCATCATTTGTATTCAGAGATACATCAGCACGTACACTGAGAGAAAAATGACAAAATTCTCAAACAAGTCTTACTTGTGCCAAGAAAATAGTTTTTTCTGTACTGGCTCTCAGGATTTCTCGTCTGGGAATTGGTATTACATATTTCCCAAACTCGAAAACTTGAAAATCACTACAGAAAAATATTGTTCCTGGGCTGTTGCGATGGGGTTTTTTTACTCGTGTGGTTGGCCAGTCCTCGCCTACGGCTCGGAGGCCAACGCCGCACGAGTAAAAAACCCCATCGCAGCAGGCCGGAAAAATACTATTTGAAAATAGTAATTTTGGACAGGCGAATTACTCGGCTGCTAAAATGGCTCTTGTGGGGCTGTCCAACACTTTGGGTGAGATGAAAGCTCAATTTTTTCATCATTTGTATTCAGAGATACATCTGCACGTACACTGACAGAAAAATGACAAAATTCTCAAACAAGTCTTACTTGTGCCAAGAAAATAGTTTTTTCTGTACTGGCTCTCAGGATTTCTCGTCTGGGAATTGGTATTACATATTTCCCAAACTCGAAAACTTGAAAATCACTACAGAAAAATGTTGTTCCTGGGCTGTTGCGATGGGGTTTTTTTACTCGTGTGGTTGGCCAGTCCTCGCCTACGGCTCGGAGGCCAACGCCGCACGAATAAAAAACCCCATCGCAACAGGCCGGAAAAATACTATTTGAAAATAGTAATTTTGGACAGGCGAATTACTCGGCTGCTAAAATGGCTCTTGTGGGGCTGTCCAACACTTTGGGTGAGATGAAAGCTCAATTTTTTCATCATTTGTATTCAGAGATACATCAGCACGTACACTGACAGAAAAATGACAAAGTTCTCAAACAAGTCTTACTTGTGCCAAGAAAATAGTTTTTTCTGTACTGGCTCTCAGGATTTCTCGTCTGGGAATGGGTATTACATATTTTCCAAACCCGAAAACTTGAAAATCACTACAGAAAAATATTGTTCCTGGGCTGTTGCGATGGGGTTTTTTTACTCGTGTGGTTGGCCAGTCCTCGCCTACGGCTCGGAGGCCAACGCCGCACGAGTAAAAAACCCCATCGCAGCAGGCCGGAAAAATACTATTTGAAAATGATCAAAAAACGGCTTTTTGTACCAAACATGCGGAGAGTGCGCCGGAATGAAAAATTTTTGTCCCAAAAATAGATTTAAGGTAAATGTACCTATGCCCGTCTTTGTCCCTACGCTCGTTCAGATCTTGCCAGTTAAGACATTTCAATCATTTTGATAGCCCCAAGAGTCTATTAAGAGTGAAGTACGATTGGAGTTATTATTTTAGTCAATAAGAAAAGTTGTAGACACCAATGCAGAGTGATTCATTGAATAATAAGAGAGAAATCACATTCACATCAACTCGTGTTACGACAGAGTTAATTCTTAAGCCACAAGTTAAGAAGCTCACAATTTTAAAACGTTGATATCTCCGTTACAATAGTAAAGTGGAATTAAAAATCCCTTGGCTAAGGTTTCGAAGAGTTGAAAATTTAATAAAAATGCATAAATTATAGTAATATCCGGATATTTTCATACCAACAATTTTCAAAAATAACCTCTGGACTATTTTTAACCTTTTAAGCGTTTGCGGGGTAAACGAACAGTAAACAATTAGTTTTTTTGCACTGATTGTTCGTTTTTAGGTATACATAATCGATCTTCAATGGATAAGAAATCTCACTCCACTAGTCCGCGACATTTAAAACTCATAGTAGTCTCCCGTTAATCAGAATTTATGAATTCTGCCAGCACCCTTTACTACTTACGCTGGACTCTGTCGACTTGGATTTTGATCCAAGAACCGTATTCTCTTCTGTATAAACGTTCAAATTCCCTGAAAACTTTTACCAAGAAGATAGAGTTTGGAACCTGAACGTGAATATTCTCTCACATAAATTTCAGCTATCGAGGGAAGCTCTGCAAACATCAAGACTAATGTGATCATACCAACCGCTGGATCAAGACTGACCGAGGACATTCTCCCCCCTGAACTCTTCAACGAGCTCAAGCCTGAGTTCATAGCTCCTGTTGTGATGTGGCTGTGCCACGAGGACTGCAACGAGACTGGAGCCATAATCGAGTCTGCTTTGGGCTGGGCCGGCAAGTGCCACCTCATAAGGGGAAATGGAGCGGTCTTGAGGAAGAGTCTGAAGGACTCAGTCACCCCTGAGGACGTTAGGAACAATTGGGCAACCGTTGTGAATATGGAGGGGGCCAAACGTTGCGAGACCATTGGGGAAGCCACTGGGGAACTGATGAACGTCATGGAGGTGTTGGGCACCAACAAGAGTGATGCCGATGGAGACAAGTCTGGGGTCATGGATTATTCCATGAAAAATCAGTATGATTTTAAACAGGTGATCCTCTATGCCTTGAGTGTGGGGGCGAAGCTCAAGGACCCCATGGACTTCAGGTCAGGAATAACCGAATTTAGACAATTTTATTAATATCAAGGCCCGAGGGATTATTTTTTCGAACGTTATCTCGATTGTTTTTCCATCTTCATAACGTAGCACATATCACAATTTCCATTAGATTTTACATCACGCAGGAGTCCCTAAAAATTATTATTGTACAATCAAAAAAAGTAGAAAAAAAACTGAATATTTTCAAAGAGGGTTTTTAATAAGGATTAAAAAATAAGCCCGATACAGAGGAAATAGTGAATGGATAATTTATCATGGTAACCAACGATCTGACAGCCATTGACTACATCAAATTATTAATTTGCAATTTCCTCCCGATTGGCTTTATTTCCAATATTATTCAAAAACGCTCTTTGAAAATGTTCAGATTTTTTTCAACGTTTTTTTTATTGTAAAATCATACTTTTTGGAAACTCCAATGCTATGTAAAACTGAATAGCAATTGGAGATCATTTCAGATTATCAAAATAAGAAAAACAACCAAGATCACGTTCGAGAGATAATCCACCCGGTCCTAGATAAAAATCAATAAAATAAATATTATTAATAAATATTAATAATACTTTACTTTATTAATATTAATAAATAAATATCAATATTAATATCGATATTTATATTTATGGGGGCAACGCCCCTTGACAGGAGGGGGATTCACAGGTTTTCCCTGGGAAAAGGAGAAATACAAGAAGTTTATACATTATAAAATATGCAGAAAGTGCTCCGTAGATCCAAAAATGGCATAAAAGTGACAATAGTTTACAAGAATATCAGTTGAACTTATTGGAGAGGCCATCAAATTGAGATGGATATAGTTATTTAATGTTATTTTTCTTTCACTCTTCTCATTTGTTCACAATGAACAATTCTATTAACATTAATTTATAATATTTTTAAAGGATATCAAATCCAACAGTACTATCCGTGACTTTACCTATTGGTGATGTTCTTTAAATAATTTTTCATTACTTTCCTGATCGATAGTATTCTCTAGACAATTTTTCATCACTCCAGCGATGAGTCACATTTTTCGGGGTATTTTTTAGTGCTTTAGGATATTCCATTAATTTTGACCAACATTACTCTAATGGTATTCTGTCGATCCCTGCTTCAGGTATCTTTACGAGAATCATTCGGATTTCGCGGTGGTTCCCTGTTATTACGTGGTTTTTGGACCTGCGACGCTTATGGAGACGGATATCATTGAGAAAGCTTTTAAGGGGAGGTCTGTCAACCTTGCGGGGATTGTCCATGGAGAGCAGTATATGAAAATTTTGCAGAAGATACCGACGGAAGCTGTGGTAATTGCTCAATTATTCATGATTCCTATTTATTTTTGGATCTTCTGATTTGATAATTACCTTAAACCTGATGGAATTGCGAACCCAGCAAACAGTATCTCGACAAATTGGCGGTGTCCTTTTAAATTTTAGATGGCACTGGCGAAAATTGTTTTCTGGAAAGGTTATGATGAGAATCAGAAGGGTGATTCTACTCGAACAATTAGACAACTGTCACTACTGTCAAAAAATTCAAATAGAATTGAAATTTAGAGAGAAAAAATTCCGATTCCGATGTCTGAAAAATAGAGATTTGTTTCATTTTTTTGAATCCTTAAGTGATCGCATAATGAGGGAATCCCCGCCGCTTTTTGATTTTTTCGGTTCACATGAAAACTTTGTGAATGAAAAATCCATAAAAATTTGTACTCCTACTCTCAAATATATGGAACACATCAACATCTTTTTTCCAGTCCAGATTTGCACCAATGAATTATTAACATCTTCTGAAAACTCGACTCGCTGAAAATCCCCATGTTACCCTTACAATTTCATAATTTTGCACTTTTTCAAATCGAGTTCTTGGATTATCTGATAACTGTGAATGTGGAATAAATTTTTTTTGTTCAACTTTTTTATTCTCGAAATCGTAAAATACACGGGGCGGGGATTCTCTTACTGTGGGACCAACTGCGTTCGGTGGAGAGCTGCGACCACTTACGGCTTTAATTCAGTAGCAAAGCAGTAAAACGGTTCAAATCGATTTCGACTATTGACCAATTTTCGCTCTACAAAACAGGTCTGGTAAGGATCTAAATTTAGGATGGATGCGGGAGGTGTTGTTCCAGGATAGGCCGCAAATTAATTAGAAAAATGAATTGTTATATTAAGGCCCAGGTGTTCTATTTTTCGAACGTTATCTCGATTTTTTTTTTCATCTTTCGTCATCTGGAATTGTCAATTAAGTCCTGCATCACGCAGAAGTTTTGAAAAATTATGAATGAATAATCAAAGAAAAGTAGGAAAAATTCTTAATTTTTTCAAAGAGCATTTTTAATTTATATTCAGAAGAAGTTGAATAACAAGAAATTCAAAAATGTATCTGATTTACGGTAACAAATGGCGGCCTGTCACCCAATATCATGCAGGGGGAAGACTGATTTCGTAAATCTTTTCCCACGCTGCACAGAGACATTTATTGCGGAAAAGGCTCTTTGAAAAAAGTTGTAATATTTTGGAGAATTTTTTAATCACACTTTCATCACACAAAAACGGCAGATGACTACAAACCACTGTTTTGAAAATTGAGATACCTAGCTGTTACTTCCCATGAGGAGTTAGTGATTTGTTATCCACCATGGAAAATGACAGGTAGGTAATAGATAATTTGCCACAGTGAATGAGATATTTGTAATTTCCACTTTTTTCAACTCATTCTGAATCTCAATTAAAAACGCTCTTTGAAAAAATTCAGAATTTTTTCTATTTTTAAAAAATCATTCTATCATAATTTTTGAGAATTTCTACATGATATACCTCTCAATTGACTATTTTGGTTTGCGAAAGATGGAAAAATCCAGATGACATTCGAAAGAGTACACCCGGGCCTTAAAATCATGGAGTAAGTAAACTGCAAAATTTAACTCCAATTGGACCTTTCTGACCCTCCGGACCCTTCCCTATGCGTCTAAAAATTATCCAAAATCAATCCCAAGGAGATAAATTTGAAATCAATCGAAAGGAAATGTTTTGTAGATCGAAACCAAGTGCAAGGTGCTAGACGTCCTGGACAAAGGAAGGAACGCGGTTCTCTTGATCGAACACGAGACCTTCAACTCTGAGACCGGAGAGAAACTCACAACAGGTCGTATATCAGCAATTGCCAGAGGAGCTGGAGGTTTCGGAGGCCCGAAGCAGTCTCACAACGAAATTCCAGGTGTGGAGGCACCGAAACGAGCCCCAGATGCTTCGTACTCTGAACAAACCAGTACTGAACAAGCTGCGTTGTACAGATTGAGCTCTGGTGACTTGAATCCACTTCATGTGGACCCGAGTATTGCAGAAATGGGGGGATTTAAGGAGCCCATACTTCATGGACTCTGCTCCCTCGGATTTGCCACGAGGCACGTCCTCAAGATGTTCGCTGGGGGCGATCCTGAGTTGTTTGACTCCTTCAGAGCGAGGTTTTCCAAGCCTGTGGTGCCTGGACAGACTCTGAGGACTGACATGTGGAGGGATGGGAACAGAATTCACTTCCAGTGTGTTGTGGTTGATACCAACAATCTGGTCGTCACTAATGCTTATGTCGATCTCAAGAAGGTAAAGATTGGGACGAAGGCCAAGCTATAAAAGTCCTCTCGTTTTACTATTTCCGAACTGAAGTCCTTCAATGATTTAGTTTTATCATTCCAATGAGGTATTTAATATTATATGGGGCGTGGGGGAAACTTTGTTAATGATGGATTAATAATCTTTATAAAATCATTTTATATTGTTGAATGTGACTCTTTATCTTGTACAAAATCACGAACCCTTAATCTGAGTTTATGAACTCTGAGGAGATTTTGACAAACTTCGCAGGCTTCTGCAAGTGCACCCAATGGCCAACACTTTTTATTAGTTACGATGTATTTTACGACAAACAATCTATCTTTTATGGACTTTGTTTCCTGGGATTCGGGTCCAGGAAGTTTTCTTTTTTGTATAAGCGTTCGAGTTCCCTGAAATTTTTTAGTAAGGAGATGGGATTTGGAACGCAAATAGTAGTGAATATTCTCTCATATAAGCTTTCCAAGGTGGGAATGGAATTCACTTTCAGTGTGTTGTGGTTGATGTGTGTTGATAGTTTAATAATCATTATAAAGGCATTTTTATCATCTATAAAATCACGAGCCCTTAATCTGAATTTATGAATTCTGAGGAGATTTTGAGAAACTCCGTCGGCTTTTGCAAATGCAGCCAATGGTTGGCACCCTCGATAATCGCGAATTCAGCCCTAGGGAATAATTTTTTTAACTCTTCATAATGTTTGACCGCTAAAAAATCACTTTGACCCCCTCCTATGAACAACGATGGCTTTGTGAATGGATCTTTCTGGAATATGGAAATATATGATGACCATGGAAATGAGATAACATGTCTCTCGAAATCTCTCGCTATCACTGGGAGATTCCTCGCCCATCCGAACTTGCCTGGTGATACTTCCTTTATCATTTCTGTGAAACGATCTCGGACACTTGCAGACGGGATTAAGTGGCACAGAGCATCAGTTGCATGTTTTTTCGCCTGTAATTGTTTTTTTTTATTCATCAATTGAAGAACTTGAAGGCTTCATCTTATTACAAAGAACAGGAATGTAAAAAAAACGTCTTAAATGCGAGTAAATCTTTGCTTTGAGAGCAATAAATAATTCTGATTATTTTTCTCACTCGGATTTCAGGCAATCAGAGCGCAGTATTTGAGGCTGTCAAACAGTTTAATTTCGGAAATTTCTAAAAAATTTCAGACGGAAATTCACTAGTAGCTTTTCAAATGTTTCTCACCTTTCAACGCAATTCACGTTTAATATTCTGTGTGACAGATAAACAAAAAAGTGGGTTGTAAATGTATGGCTGTGTAAATGTATTCGGATACCGTTCACTGCACTCTACTTGGCCGAAATCCGAGTGGAAAAATAATCCGTCAAATACCACTAGTGCTTCAAAATTAATCGGATATTTTCCTCAAGCTTCCTTGCCTAGGAACGAATGTGTCAAATTTTGCAGAAAAATCCCTCGTGTTTCGCACTCGAAAATATCCGATAATTTTGAAGCACTAGTGGTATTACTATTGAAGTTTCTCAAAACATGAGGTGGTTGCCGCCTGGCCGCCATCTTGTAAGCCCGCTTGGATCTTCATATAACATGGCGGCACCCAAATTTGTTCACCACCTCGTATTTTCAAACACATTTTAGAATTATTTATCGACTTCAAATTGCTCTCTACTTGTTCAAGGATATTCTCGCGATGGGAAAAATTGTGATGCAATACTTGTCGAAGGTGGTCTCAAAGGAGTGAATAATTCTAAAGAACATTTTAAAAAACACGAGGTCAATGACATGTCTGGCTGCCATTTTGCAAACCCGTCTGGATCTTTACACAACATGGCGGCACGAAAATTTATCCAGCACCTTGTATTTTCAAACACACTTTAAAATTATTTACCAGCCTCAAATTGCCCTCAACTTGTTCAATGACACTCTCGCGATGGGAAGAATTTTAATGCAATACTCGCAACTACTCGTCCGCAGTTCAATTATTTTTTTACTCTTCCGTCCGATCAATCAATAACGCTAATTATCGTACCTCATCAAGTGTTTGGAGCCCCTGGAAGTCGACAGTAAGCAACTTTTTCAATGTTTTTGACATATTGAAGAGACTCTGAGACGTTTCAATTGGATTTGCCTCAATAACAACAAGCTTTTCGGCTAGATGTGGATATTTGAGGGCCGTAAAGACCATAATACCTCCTCCCATGCTGTGTCCCATCAAGATACTTTTATTCAGCTTTAAATTTTCGGATAAGAGTTTAACATCCGCTGCCATAGATTCCCACGACATCTCGGGAGCGTCCGGCGACTCGCCATGATTTCTAGCATCAATTGCGATTATTGTTCTCTTCGTCAACTGATTCAGAGCTTTTGATAATGAGGCGAGGTCTCTTTTGGAGTTTAGGGCTGAATGCAGGAATAGAACTGGAGATTTTCGGGGTTCCTGTAGAGGAGAAAATTGAAAAGCGCTCACAAATTCGTTTTCAAGTTGAATCAGTAGCGAAGCGGTTAAGTCGACTTAGCTCTCAGCTGATGTTTAGAGGAATATATGCGAATCTAAGGGAGATGGTGAATTCTTCGTAATAATCTTTTTTGTAGAGCGAATTGAGGGCTACAAAAAATGTTGTGACAAACATTTTGCTATCTGCCTTAGATTCCGAGATATTTATTGGAAACTGACTAATACTCAAAATCAACTTGAAATTGATTCGTGTCGTTTTACCTCTTCGCCCCTTAAGGGCCCGCAGGAGTAGAAAAAAATTACTGTAATGGAGGGAAAACTGGACCATGAAATATCAGCAACAAGGCGATGAAAAAATCGTAAATGTAGCTTGAAAAATTTGTTCTTGTGGGAACTGACTGAAACGAGTTGTAGGTGATCCGAAGAGGATGAATAGTTTCAAAAAGTGTTCAAAAATACGAGGTTGTTGACAGGCTTGGGCGCCATCTTGCTTGGTTACCCCCTCCCTCTGTAACAAGGGTCTTCAAAGATGGCGGCTTTGCCACCTCGTATTTTTAAACACTTCTTAAAATTATTTATCCTTTTCAGTTCATCCTCAATTCACTCCATCCAGTTTCTATGAAATGAACAAATTTTTTAAGCCGTCTTGTAGATTTTTTCATCTTCTTTTGGCTGAGAATTCATGACGCAAAATTTTCCCCGGATGTCGGTATTCTTTTTTATTTCCGAGGCCTCTTAAGCATGTTTATCCAAAATCGAAAGTAATTTTAAAAAATTGATTTTTTTTTAAACTGAGAGATAAAGATATATGTGAAGGGCACTTTGATACAAATTTCAATCCACCTACCAATGTTCATTATTTAGAAATGAAACAGACGAAATGCACCAAATGCACCAAATGCATGCGCTAACATGCGCTTGTATGGGATAGAATCATTCAAATATTTCTTCTTTTTGCCCGGGTACCCCAGATTTTTCTCTAGCCATTGGATTCAGTATGATTTTACACATTACCTTCTATTTTTATTTCTATTTTTAGAGTCTTCTGGTAGGTGAATTATCAATTTGAACACAAATTTCATAAGAACCCGTGTATAAGGAAAAATTAGTTTATTCATTTCTGCCGAGACTATTCACGGACGAAAAAATTTAATAGAAAAACCTATCGAATTCGTTAGAAAATTCTATTGAAGTGTTGTATTAGTTTTTGGTCGATTCTATTGAAATGCTTAATAGAAAATATTCAATAGAAAAAGTCAATAGAATTCAATTTTTCTATATAACTTATTCTATTGAGATATTTTCTATAGAATTTCCTCGGTTCAAATTTTTCAAGTTTTTTCGTTTGATTTTCTTGATGAGAAGAAAAGAAAAATAGAATGAAAATAACTTAGAAAATTTGAGTCGAGCAAATTCTATAGAAAATATATGAAAAGAATAAGTTATATAGAAAAATCTAATTCTGTTGACTTTTTCTATTGAATGTTCTCTACTGAACATGTCAATAAAATCAGCCAAAAACTAATAGAAATTCTATACAATTTTCTAACGAATTCGATAGGCTTTTCTATTAAATTTTTTCGTGCGTGATGCGATTAATTTTTTTTAACGTTAGAAAAGTGAGTTTTACATGTTCGGCTGTCAGCCGAAACAATTACAGAATTTTTTCCTTGATCACGAAAAAAAAAACACATTCACCGACAATTTACCGACACTGGCTAAACATCCTTAATCGATGTCTCCGTACCTCTCTTGGAGTTTCCTGATCGTGAACAGTGTATGAAAGCTTCACTGGTGATACCTCGATGGCACTACTCCAACTTCTGTTGAACCTCAGTCCAACGACTCTCGATTTAAATATCATATACTTGTTCATTATCGAATTGAAACTATCAATTAATCTACAATCGATCAGTACCAGGAGTAATTGACAATCGCAAGAGAAGCTAATTGCCAACTGACGTGTGCTCAAGCAAGCGGGCATACTCTTCAACCCATAATCATTATTATCCATGACTTTACCTATCTTATCATTTTTTGTATTAAATAATAATCGGAGAATTGCATGCTAATTTGAATAAATAATAATCGAATGAAGCGGAAACCAGCGGAATATTCGCCACCGAAAAATTCAATCCCCTGAGAATTTTTGAGTGTACGAGTCAGACACTCCTCTGGGCGGATTGTTGTCAAGTGCAAATGAGTTTGCTCATGACTTAAAAATATATTTTTATCGTTCAGTTCATGAAACATCATTTCACGCACATTGCGCGTGCTAAAAAGCCACTCACGAAGGTTGTAACAAAAAATATTTTTTATCATTCCGGTCGTGAGGACGCTACGCGTCCTCGAATTACTTAGTCTACAGCCGTTACGACAAAAAACATTGTACGTCAAGCGGCCTAAAAAACCTACATTGAAATGTACTGCTTCGTCACTGTGTCGAAGAAAATTTTTCTGGCGAAGCGGCATGCAGAACTCGTCTTCGTCTCGTCCTGCAACCACATATTCACCAGAAAAATTTCCTTCGGCACTGTGACGAAAAATACTATTGTGACAGCTGATCTAAAAGGTGTGTGTAAAACAATTCCTGTGCGTAAAGCTATGATTGATTTTTCTCGCAATTCCATCGCTCTAACACAACTCCTGAAGGAATGCACAATTACACAATTTTCCACTCAAGAAAAAATCTTTAATAACGTTTTCATACAGACGAAATATAATTCTCATCCCTAAAAAATTTCTCTAGAATTGCATCAAGCCCTTAATTATGAATTTATAAAATCCAAAGATAATCCACATAATTTTCAACTGGAGCCTCAATTTAAGGCATAACTTGAGACAATCATCATGATTTTTCACATAAAAAATCAATAAATCAAGCAACATTTCCAATGAAGCTCAATAATAGTTGTTATCCTGACTCTAACTCAACTCCTTCTGAAGAAATGCACAATTACACAATTTTCCACCCAAGACAATATCTTTAATGACGTTTTCATACAGATAAAATATAATTCTCGCCCCTAAAAAATTTCTCTAGAATTGCATCGGGACGTTAATTATGAATTTGTAAAATCCAAAGATAATCCACATAATTTTCAACTGGAGTCTCAATTTAAGGCATAACTTGAGACAATCATCATGATTTTTCACATAAAAAATCAATAAATCAAGCTACATTTCCAATGAAGCTCAATAATAGTTGTTATCCTGACTCTAACTCAACTCCTTCTGAAGAAATGCACAATTACACAATTTTCCACCCAAGACAATATCTTTAATGACGTTTTCATACAGATAAAATATAATTCTGGCCCCTAAAAAATTTCTCTAGAATTGCATCGGGATGTTAATTATGAATTTGTAAAATCCAAAGATAATCCACATAATTTTCAACTGGAGTCTCAATTTAAGGCATAACTTGAGACAATCATCATGATTTTTCACATAAAAAATCAATAAATCAAGCTACATTTCCAATGAAGCTCAATAATAGTTGTTATCCTGACTCTAACTCAACTCCTTCTGAAGAAATGCACAATTACACAATTTTCCACCCAAGACAATATCTTTAATGACGTTTTCATACAGATAAAATATAATTCTCGCCCCTAAAAAATTTCTCTAGAATTGCATCGGGACGTTAATTATGAATTTGTAAAATCCAAAGATAATCCAGATAATTTTCAACTGGAGTCTCAATTTAAGGCATAATTTGAGACAATCATCATGATTTTTCACATAAAAAATCAATAAATCAAGCAACATTTCCAATGAAGCTCAATAATAGTTGTTATCCTGACTCTAACTCAACTCCTTCTGAAGAAATGCACAATTACACAATTTTCCACCCAAGACAATATCTTTAATAACGTTTTCACACAGATGAAATATAATTCTCATCCCTAAAAAATTTCTCTAGAATTGCATCGGGACGTTAATTATGAATTTGTAACATCCAAAGATAATCCACATAATTTTTAACTGGAGTCTCAATTTAAGGCAAAACTTGAGACAATCATCATGATTTTTCACATAAAAAATCAATAAATCAAGCTACATTTCCAATGAAGCTCAATAATAGTTGTTATCCTGACTCTAACTCAACTCCTTCTGAAGAAATGCACAATTACACAATTTTCCACCCAGGACAATATCTTTAATGACGTTTTCATACAGATAAAATATAATTCTCGCCCCTAAAGAATTTCTCTAGAATTGCATCGGGACGTTAATTATGAATTGATAAAATCAGAAGAGCTCTTGAGAAACTCGGCAGGTTTTTCAGCGTGCAGCCAGTGAGCAGCATCCTCTATGTAAACAAAATCAGCATTGGGGAAGAGTTTTTTCATTCCCGGATGATCCTCCCTCTGTATGTAATCGCTCTTCCCTCCAGCGATGAACAGCGTTGGCTTGGTGAACGTCTTTCCACCTAATCGAGGGAGTATCGTGGGAAATTGTGCGATGTGGGTGGGAAAGTGTTCTATCAACACCGGGAGATTCACTCGCCATCTGAAATTTCCTGGTGGATCCTCCGTTATATTCATTACTAGGAACTGCCGAAGGGTTGGAGAGTGAATGGTTGTGGAGAGGGCTTGGTCTGTGTGTTGTCTTGCCTGGAATAATTTTTCCATTTTTATCTCCTAATTTTTCGTTCAATTGACGGAGATAATGGAGCAGGACTTGGTAGTGGATTTAGAGATGTTCAAGTGAAAAATGTCGAGAGATTTTTCTCGTCAACGAGAATATTTTAATAATTCTTCTAATTGAGCAATTGCGCTCTTTAGGAATTGCCTTGTTTTCTGATTATTTTATTCGTTTGTGTCAGGGGTTTTAACATTTTTGTACAGGCCAAATCATCAGGGATAGCCAACAATATTAGTTTTCGACAATATTGAGAAGGATTATGCCCTTATATTGTTCAAAGTTTAACAATATTTATCAAATTTAATATCTAAATTTTCTGATTATTGGTGAATAAAATCAGCAGCGAAGTGGTCAAACGGTTTAAGTCGACTTAGCTCTGAGCTGAGTTTTCGAGGAATATCTCCAAATCTAAGGGAGATAGGGAAGTCATCGTGTATTTTTTTTGAAGCTCTCAATGTGCTCTAGCAAAAAGGTCTGTTTGAAACGCAGCGAATATTTCTCTATCAGAATTACCGGGCTCAACGGAAAATCTCGAACGACCTCGGGACCCTTCGGTCTGAGACATTTCACGAGACAAAACTTTGGAGAGATGATCTCGGTCTCAATGAACATGGAAATTCTTTGCTCTCGTTTCAGCCTCGCAATACGCAGTATCGACTCTTTCGTAATGACTCTGAGTCAATTTATCGCATCTCGGTTTCCAGTTTTTTGCGTTTTTTATACGTAGAAAACCGGGACGAGACAAACCGAGGCAAAAACCGATATTTTACATTAAAAAACAGGAAAAACTTGCGACCGAGGTGAGATAAATTGACTCGGAGTCATCGCGAGGGGAGTCGATAAGCGTATTTTGGGACTAAAACGAGCACAATGATTTCTATGTTCATCGAGACCGAGATCATCTCTCCAAAGTTTTGTCTCGTAAAGTGTCTCACGGCATCACTATTAGTATCACAAGAGGCGCGTCACGTGACCCGAAAATACTGCTGTCTGATTGGTCGAAACAAGAATGAAGCAAATTATTGAGATAAAGGCCCCAGGCAACTGGAGCTTCAATTCGAGGCATAATTTGAGACAATCAGAATAATTTTTGGAATAAACATGAATAAATGATGAATAAATGAATAAATTCAAATATTTCATAGCATTCAGGTGACGTAGTCAATTCCGTGAGGACCAAATTCAAGGGATTTTGCTCGTCGAGACGAGGATATTCGAATGTTTGTTCTACCTGAGAGAGACTCTGCACTCCCTTAAAGTCAATAGAACTCATGGCAGCCATGATGAGCGACATCTCCTGAAGACTCGGACTCATTCTAACTGGAGACATGTCCACGACGACCAATTTCTCGACTAAATAGGGGTATGTGAGGGCTGTGAGCATGACAGCAGCTCCTCCCATGCTGTGTCCCATGAGAACAGTCTCCTTGATGTTCAATTTTTCCAACAGATGTTGAATGTCCCATGCCATGTCTTGATACGTCATCTCTGGGGTGTGAGGTGACTCTCCGTGATTTCTGGCATCGATGGTGATTATTCTTCGTTTTGTCAATTGGTTCAGAGCTTTTGACAGCGAATTCCAGTTATTTCGAGAGCCGAAGAGACCGTGCATCACCAGAACTGGAGGTTTTTCCGGTTTCTGCTGGGAAATAATTGGAATAGGGAACCTGCATGAATTTTTTAATCTCAAGTTTGAGACCTGAATAATTCATTTTTCATTCGCAAATGTTCGAAATAGTGTTCACTAATTAATAATTAATTGTTAGAAGTTAAAGATTTCAAGCGCTTTGAAATTATTATTATTATTATTGTTATTAATTTTATTACTTTTAGGATACATAGTCCCTTTGCAAGGGGGAAGTAATATACATAAAGAAAATAGAAAGCTACTGCAATTAAAACGTAATAATGAAATATCAAACACAAAAATTTAATGATTTTTGAGTAGACGACCGCTTGGTAACATTACAATCATCAATGTATCGATGGGTGGTTAGACATTGCAAGAGAAACGGGTAAATATTCTTGATCTCAACAAAGTTTGAGTGGTACAGCATATGACTTAAGGAGTAACGGAAGCCGTCGCAAAAGTTTGTTTTTTCAACCGATTTTTCTCCGATTGTGTACAATATAAATGGCTGAAATTTTCACCAAGTATTGAGGGGAGATAAAGTGTTGTCCTCCATCTATTACTTTTCATCACGCTGTGACGAAAAGTGAACTTTTCGGCACGCTCCGCGTGCCTAAAAGTCCAATTTCCGCCACATTGTGATGAAAAATATTGTTCGTAACTTGTGAAAAAATGTTTTTTGCACTCGTTACAAAATATACTATTTCAGTTTTTTTGCACAAAAAAAATTTAGGAAACTTAATACAGCTGATGCTAAGAAATAACAGATGGACGACAACGCTTAGGCTCCCCTCAATAATTTGTGAAAGTTTCAGCCATTTATATTGGACGCAATCGGAGAAAAATGGGTTGAAAAAACGAACTTTTGCGACGCGTTCCGTTACCCCTTAAAGGGCAGGCTATTAGGTGGGGTAGTTTTTTGTAAAGAACATCACGGTGTGCTTTGTTCGCGGAACAGATTAGAAGAAGAAACGCTTTGAAATCACTAATGACGTCACGGAAACGGTCGAGTGCTGGACCAATCACAGAATGGCTCGAGCCGACCTAACCCAATCTTGAGGTGTGCCTCGGCCAATGAAGGACGACAACTCCCCACTCTCTTCTTTTTCGACCAATGAAGCGTTACCTGACCGTCTCTGTGACGTCATGATCGAAAAATTGGCCTCGAAAACGACTGATTTTCAGTTATAGTTATTTTCATCACAAGGTCCACAAAGTATTTTCTGACGAATATGGCTTTGTAGCCACACATAATCACATTCGTCAGAAAATACTTTTGGACCGTGTGATGAATGCAATTTTTCGTCAGAAGGCCCGTAAACTGCGATCAAACCGAGCGAAGCGAGGTTAGAATCACGGTTTACCGGGTCTTCTCACGAAAATTATCATAAGACATCTAGGCAATATTTCTCCATAATTTTCGTTACTTAGGGAACTTCATGCAAGTTCCCTATGACGTGGCTTTTTGGTATTTATATTTCATTGGATCGAAATTCGTGTTTTTTTTTTATTTGTCATTTTGAGTCTGATTTTCACATTTTTATGCGTCACATAATTATTGGCTGTAGTAGTAATTATTGGCACAAGAGACATGTCACGTGACCTCAAATACTACACTCTAACTGGTTGAAATCAGAATGGTCAATTCGAAATATAACTCGAGAAAATTCTCATTAATTTTCAGATAAAAATGAATGAATAAATAGATGATCAATAAATGACTTAAAATATTCCATGGGATCCAAATGATGGAAAAAACTCTTCGTCATTCTGTCATTTTAAATCCTGCCAGGTATATCACGTGATCCCAGAAACTGCCACCTGATTGGACGAAATTAGAGTGGAAGAAATAATGAAGATAATTCACAACTCGAGGCCCAATTAACATGATTTGCGCTACTTGCTATGATTCTTAAATGAAAAATGAATAAATTTAGTTGCATTGACAATGAAACTCAGCAATATTTGTTATCAATCCTGACCCTCGGCAATGAAGTTATCTTAAAAAACCATCATCAAATGATGTTATCAATCAGAAAAGCACAGAAGTAATGCATTTTTTCTCACATCCTTCGGAGTATCTTGATCATAAATGGTGTACGCCAGCTTGACAGGAGTATTCCTAAGAGCAGTGGTGCTGATGAGCCTCAGGCCAATCAGTCTAGAAGGCAGAATAACGTTGCCAGCCATCCGCTCAATAAATTTGTACAGCTGAAACAAAACTATATCTCCCGAATAATTACGCAGTTACGCGAGAGGTTAGGGAATCATATTGCGACTAAATTGGCCTGAATGCTCTTGAAGATCATTCGATATTCTCTCTCGAGTGCTATTGGACGAGATCTAGGGGTTAAAAAATCGGTTGAACTTGGTGGAGTCAGATTATTTGTCACAGAGATGAGTAAAAAGGCGATTTTGCTGATGGGGGATGGAGCTGAGGAGATGGAGGCTGTCATAACTGCTGATGTACTCAGGAGAGCTGGGGTAACCTCCAATAATTCAGTATTGATAAACGAATTCGGTAGCGAAGCGGTAAAACGATTCAAGTCGTCTTGGCTCAGATGTTCTCGAGGAATATCTCCGGATCCAAGGGAGATGGCGAAATTTTCGTAATAACCTTTTTTGTAGAGCGAGTTGAGAGCTACGAAAAAGGTTATAACAAAAATTTTGCTATCTCCCTTAGATTTCGAGGTATTCAGTGAAAACTGATCAGTAGTCAAAATCAACTTGAGGCAAAACCCTTTTGCTACTGAATTATCATGGCTTTTACTTAAACTCTGAGAGTTTTGGGGCATCTCCGGGGGCAGGTTGCTGTTACTATTGCTAGTATCACTGGGAGGGAGTGTGTCAAGTGCTCCAAAAATACGAAAATCTGTGCTGATGCTCTACTGGGGGATGTCGTGCCGGCTAATACTTATGATGTCGTTATTCTACCTGGGGGACTTGGAGGATCTGAGGCACTTTCTCAGGTGAGAATGGAGACATTCATTGTGGGGATTAATTAGGGGAGAATGAGGTAAATGACATTTTTCCTGAGAAAATGGGATGATTTTAATAAATCATGTTTAATTTTGAAATGATAAAAGTGTTTTTTTGGATATTAATTTTCGTTATAACTTCAACGTGAAATTATTTTTTTTCATTTTAAACTGTGAATAAATAACTTGACAATGCAAATAAAATTATTAAAAAATTGATTTTTCAATATTTCAAAATGAAAAAAAAAAACCAATTACTTGAAATAATAATAATTCTTTTCAGTAGAATATAATAATAGTAATAATAATGAAACGTAATAATTATAAAACTGAAAAATCAATTATTTGAAATAATAATAATTCTTTTCAGTAAAATACAATAATAGTTTTTAATATTATTTGTTCATTCATCGGGGTAAAAATATCATTGGCATAAAAAAGAATTGTGATGTTGAAAAAGATTTAACTTGAATGAATTTTCACAGTCAAAAGAAGTGGGAGAGTTATTGAAGACCCAGGAGCAGGCTGGAAGGATTATTGCAGCAATATGTGCAGCTCCAACAGCTCTGAAGGCACATGGAATTGGTCTCGGGAAAAAGATCACTTCTTACCCAGGAAAAAAGGACCAATTAGTTGGGGATTATAATTACCTCGAGGAAACCGTTGTTGTCGATGGTAAAAAAAAATAAGAGTAGTGGAGAGTGGGGCAAAATGAAACACTCGAAAAATGACTATTTAATGCAATTGAAACAAAAAAAAATTTTTTTGTTAATTTTTTTTTATTATGGGGAGAACTGATGAGAATAATAAATTTTCTATTCGTCTTATAATTCAATTGATTAGATTAGGCCGAGTACACTTTTCTTTTTTCATTCGATAGGAATTGAGCATCACATTTTCCTTTTTCCCCTTCCGGGTCTCCCCCTGGGGCTTCCTCTGGACTTTGGATTTTGCTGTTTCATTTTCTTTTCAATTAATCCATTGACTAAATCTTCTCCCGTCAAAACTTCTCAATAATTTCTCATTCTACTGAATGGAAAATTATCTTTCTCATTAGTACTCTCAAGAATAAAAAAAATTGATAAACAAAAGTTGATAAAAAAAATATTTAACAAAAAAAAAATGTTTTGCTTGAATTGCGTTAAACAGTAATTTTTCGACCGTTTCATTTTGCCCCACTCTCCCCTAATAGTCTAGATAAAACAATAAATCATCTGACGAAAATGCCGATTTGTTCACCAGGTAAGTTGATCACCAGCAGAGGACCAGCCACTACATTTGCATTTGCACTGACCATTGTCTCCGAACTACTTGGAAAAGAGGCTGCCCTGCCAATTGCCAAGGCAATGCTCTACAACGATTTCAAATAAAGGAGAAGAATGGAATAAAAAAAATCCAGTAGCCAACTGACGAAACAGAATATCAGCAGAAAATCCACAGTGCAAAGCTGTTTCATCACTTCACCGCTGGATTCCCAATTGTTTCCCATAAACTGTAGTTATTTTCACCGAAAAAAACAAGAGTAGTTTTTCAACCAACATAATCCATATTAAAATTATCGAACTTCCAGTTGAATAATCTCCCCGATTGTCCCCTCAAAGTCATCGTCCACTCAACAACTTCTGAATCCTCTGATTATTCCTCATGATATTCGCCTTCGTCTGAAAGATCTTCTCCATCTGTCCGCCAATGGTCCCCTCGATCTCCTTGAGGCTCTCCTCCAACGGTTTAATCGACTCCTTCATCATATTCCTCTCGACCACCAGCTGCTCCCTGAGATCACTGAACTGACTCCTCCACTCCCACAACTCCTTCTCCATGATCTCCGCGTCTTCCTGAAGGAAATCCATGAGTTTTCCAAGAGGATTAGTGGTCCTCGTGAGACTCTGAATAGTCCCCCTAAGTTTATCCACTTCCTTGACAACAGCTTCCTTGTCCTTCCTCATTCCCGCCTCCCACTCGATCTCCACCTTATTAGGAATTATCTCCACATTTCCCTCGTTGACAAGTTCCCTCTGGGTCTCCAGGATCTGCGCCACCAGATACCCATGCTCCTTCGTCAACTCCTTGTTCAGTAGATCCGAATTCCCACCGAGGTTCTCTTCATTTCCCGAACTCTCCACCACCACCATGCCCTCCACATCATCCTCTCTGGTATCAAAGTTCTCGACAATAACGTGAACATCACCCATCTGTGTCAGCCCATTAGTGTTCACCAGGAATTCACCTTTTCCCTTGAGTTTCGGTGCTCCAGGACGAGCTGAAGGAGGTCGAGCACTGGGGGGACGAAGGAGATTCCTCTTCGCCGGAACATCTCCAGCAGGAGCTTCCGAAGTCTTCAGCGGCTGCGCAACAGTTTCCGCCGAAGGCTCTTCAGCTCCCTGCTGATGCTGATGGATCACTGGATCCTCCGGGGGTGGTAGCACCTGGGGCGGGACGGCCACCTCCTCTCCCTGAGGCCTCTCCTCGTGAATCGACTCTGTCGAGTCCTTGGAGGGCTCCATCGACTGCAGCTCCTCCTCATTCTTCGGTTCTGGCGCCTTCTCGGGCGCTTTCTTCGGCGGGGACGAACGCTTCGACTTCCTCGAGGGATCCGAATCCCTCTGTTTGTGGGACTTGCGGTCCACACTCTCCTCTCGAGGCTTCTTCCTTCTCCTCGCATCCTCCTTCTCCTCCTTCTCCTTTCTCTCCCTGTCCTTCGATCTTGTCCGCTCCGAGGGAGTCGACTTCTTCGTCGACTTGCGGTTTTTCTCCTCGGAGGGCTCTCGCCTCGGTTTCTCCTCCGAAGCCGCCGACTTCCTCTTCTCCTCGGCTTCTCTGAACTTGCGCAGTTTCTCTTCAGAGGATGTTTTCCTGGGCTTTTCCTCTGATTTCTTGGATTTCTGTCGCTCTCTCTTCTCGAGGGACTTCTTGTAGTGCTCGATCGCTTCCGAACTCGAGATCTTCTTGTCGAGAGACTTTGCAATTGCCTGGAGGAGCTCATTTGTTTTTAGGGGCTCCTGACCTGACACTATCTTTGAGGGACGGACTGACAGCTCCTGCCCAGTGATCAGCTTCATCGCGTCGATGAGCTTCGTCAGGTAGGCGAGTTTGCCGTCCTTATCGGTGATGTTGGAGGAGATGAGCTCCTCGTCGGTGAAGAGACCTTTCAGGAAGCCTGTCTCCTTGATGACTGCGTTGATTGTGTCGTGGAGGAAGCGGAAGGGAGGCTTCCTCAGGAGCTTCTCCGTCAGCGGAGGCTTCTTCACGTATTTACTGAGGAGATCCTGGGTCTTCTTTATGGAGTCTTGGAGCTTTGCCTCTTCTGACATGATTTCAAAGGGTTGAAAATGAGCTTTTGAAGTTGTGGGAAGGGGGGAGACGCGCCTCGAAATTATGCAGCAGAGTTTTTTGTTGTGAACATTCGACGCCGACGACGGTCGCCTTGGCAACGCTACGGCAATGCCCCCAGCGGTTGGAATTTATACGTCTTCGTGAGAGAATGTTTGAATTCATACTAACTGTGCTGTATTTTTATGCAGAAATCATCCTGTCTACAGGTAGTGTTTTCCATTTTTTGGATGAAACGTTGTTATGAATATCTGTTTTCCCCTTTAAAATGCATTTCATGGGGTGTGCATTTGTTCTTTTCGATCCGAACATCTCCTCTGAAGCTAGTAATACTTTTTTTATTCATTATTCTTTGCTCTCGTTTTATTGTATTGACGTATTTAATTTTCTATCGTTCCATTTTATTCTAATAAACGCCTTTTTTGAGGGGAGACTACTATGAATTTCAAGTCGCAGGCTATTGAAATGAGATTTCTCATACATTGAAGATCGATTATGAATGTTTAAAAACGAATAATTAGGGCAAAAAAACTAATTGTTTATTATTCGTTTACCTCGAAAACGCTTGAAATGTCCAAAATAGTCCGGGGCCTCTAATTTTTGAGTTACAGAGGTTTTTTTTTCAAAATGTTTGGAAAAATATGTGCAATAACAATTACGAATTAGTTTCTTGAAATTCAGCTCCAACACAGCCAATTTCTTTATTATTTTAATAAAAAATTGCACAATTCATGTCGGATAGCACGAAAAATATTTCTGAAAAAATCAAGAATATTTTTCATCTTTTAAGGATAATTTTTCTGCCCATTTTACATGAATGGCCCAAATTTTTATGTTAAACACAACAAAATTAGCTGTATAGCAGTCGAATTTCGAAAAACTAATTCGTAATAATTGTTATTGTACACATTTCTTCAGCAATTTTGAAAAAAAAAACCTCTGTAGCTCAAAAATTGCAGGCCCTGGACTATTTTTCATATTTTAAGCGTCTGCGGAGCAAACGAACAGTAAACAATTGATTCTTTTGCACTAATTATTCATTCTGAGACATATATAATTGATCTTGAATGCATGAGAAATCTCACTCCAATATCCCACGATTTTTAAAACTCATAGTAGTTTCCCCTTAATGCTCATGCGTTTCAATATGTTTATCAATGCCCATATGAATTTATTTGTATGTATAAAATAACGAGTTTCACTTGAGAAACGAAGCTCCCTGGTTGATCCCGTCAGTTGTGATATGCTTGTTTCAACGATTAAGCTTACACCACGCACGAAGTAAATTTTATTGAAAAACTGAGCGATTTTGATAGAAAATTCTATTGGATTACCTAGTATTGAACTTCTATTGAAAAGAATTCCACAGCTTTACTGTTAATGTTCGGGAAAAAATAAATTCTTCTACCATGAAAGTGATTCCTTAGCAAAAGTAATTTTTTTTCTCAGTGTAAGCTGCACAATTTCCCAACAGCATTGACGAAAAATTAATAGAAAGTTCGACGAAATCACTGCCGAAATCTAATAGAATTTTCCAGGTTTTACTACGAATTTTTTTCGAACGCAAAGTCTCAGAACATGTCTCATTTTGATACCTAAATAAGTTATTCTATTGAAAATGTCTGCTAATGTGAATTTTAGAAATAAAGAGAAATATGTAGGGGAGAGTGGGGCAAAATGAAACAGTCGAAAACCGACTATTTGACGCAATTCAAGCAAAAAAATTTTTTTATCAACTTATGGTTAGTAACTTTTTGTTATTATTGGGAGTACTGATGAGAATAATAATTTTCTACTCGTCTTATAATCCAATTGATTAGATTAGGCCGATTAGACTTTTCTTTTTTCATTAGATTGAAATTCTGCATCACATTGTCCTTTTTCCCACTGTGGGTTTCCCTCTGGACTTTGGATTTTGCCGTTTCATTTTCATTTCAATTAATCCATTGATAAAATCTTCTCCGGTCACAACTTCTCAATAATTTTCCATTCTACTGAATGGCAAATTATTATTCTTATCAGTACTCTCAAGAATAAAAAAAAGTTAATAAAGAAAAGTTAATAAAAAAAAATTAGGAGAGGTTGGGGTAAAATGGACACTTTTGATTTTTTTAAAAATTTTAATGACAGCTTAAAATGTTGATGAAATTCAATAATTTTTTTTTTTCAATGCAAAAAACATTTCCCTTTGTGATGAGCCTAAACTGAGCTCAATTGATAAATTTATTTCTGAGTGATGAATAATTTTAAAAAAGTCCAAAGTGTCCGTTTTACCCCATGCTCCCCTAATAAAAAATTTTTTTTTGATTGAATGCGTCAAACAGCCGTTTTTCGACTGTTCTATTTTGCCCCACTCTCCCCTATATAGTAAATTTCATCCAAATTCCATATTTCCTCGTCTTATTGAGAAAAATGTTACGAGCAAACCTTTTACATGTATTTAAAATTAACTAACATCACGCTCGCGATACAAAAATTACTCAATGATTTAGGACTCCACCGACATCCGGTTCGTCCCAGGCGGGTATTCCCGAGGAGGAAAATTCATGAAACCACTGATTGATGAGTCATTTAATTTTCCAACACATCCTCATCGCTCATTGCTGCACAATGCCCAATTGTTATATCCTCACTCGACTATTTTTAAACGCATTCTCAATCATTTTTCAAAATCTCATAATTATTTGAGACCAACTGACTGCGTCACGAGATTTAATCAAGTGTGCGATTAGATAAAACAGAACGTGAGGAAGCGCAGGCCGACTCAAGATCTTCGATAATTCATTATTTAATCATTGAAAAAAAAATCTGACGATTAAAAGTTCTCAATATTTGAAAAAGAATTCCATTGATTACAAATAGAAAATCCGATCGAGTACATGGCAACAAACAGTATCTATTCCCAGAGTAATGAATAGAAATACTCTTGAATAATATTTTTCCTGCTCAGTGAAATGTTTATGAACCGTTGGTGTTGGGAGAATTTTTCTACTTTGATGACTTCGAAAACTGATAATGCACTATCTCCAATCCTATTCTAAAAAGATCTTTCCAAAACTACCTCCACTAAACCTCGAATATCTCTGGACCCATCGATCCGATTTCGTCGATTCAAACTTCATTTTTAACTTGAAAAAAATACCTTGGAAACGAAACAAAAATGTTCATTTTTCACTCAGCCGATCGCGAGATATCGCCGATCGAAATAGCTCGTTATTTTAAGTTAATGAAAGGGGGAATCGGGGAATGGGGGCTGCAGCAAAATGCGATTGGTGTGTCAATGGGTCTCAGTTGCGTCTCCAACGTCCGCTGAGACATAACTCCCATGTTCTTTCATTTATGTCATTAAAATTCTAGTTTTAGTCAACAGTGCGTCGCGGCCTCCTCACATGTGCCCCAACAGTAAAAATTCGTTATCTCGTAGGAATTTCGTAATCTAAAATCTGGCCGAGGGAAACAGACTGTGAAATAAAATTGCCAGTGCTGAGTGCAAAGGAAATAATTACCAGGAACATGGAGTTATAAGCAAGACCTATCTGATCCTTTGTTTACATTTTTTTATAAGGAATTCAACGGGTTTGTTCTTTAATGATTTAGATTTCTGTTGAGGTGAGCAATTTCGTTAATTGAAAATTAGACTCTCTTCTATAGGCCGTAACTCGACATCGGCAGAGTGAAATTCGAAGAGTTTTCTCTCATTTTGAGGGTGTTTTTCTCACATTTAAAATGAGCTCTGATTTATTGAATTCGGATCATTGGATAGGGAGTTGGTGCAGGTTCAGAGGGGGACTATTTAGTCCATCTGTTATTTTTTGGTGGGTTAACCTAGAATATTTTCAGATAAATTAGAATGGAAAATAACTCTACTGAGAGTTTGGACGTGTCTGGGGGCGGCGATGCAGAATCAATCAATAAGACTTCACCCAACGGTAGCCCACAAAAATTGAACGAGAATTCGTCGCTCAATCCGTTGACTAATCAGACGTATTTCGCTGATGAGAGGATACAAATTCCGGAAGTTGAGACGGTGAGGATTTTTTTATACTGTAGATAACTGGGCGATTGGCTGAGTGGATTTTGAAAACTTTTTTTAGGGATTTTTTAGAGTTTAAAATAATACTTAATTTATTAGATTTATTTATTTATTGATTTGTTGTGGAAGAAAATATTAACGATTTAAAATGCACATCTTGGGCAATTTTTTATTGAACATAATTAGGGATCGGTTGAGTAGATTGTAAAAACCTTTTTTTGCTTTTAAGTGTTCTTTTTGGAGTTTAAAATGAGATTCGATTTACCGAAATCGCATTGTTGGAGGAGGTGAAACGATCGATTGTCAGAAAGAATTTTCCAATAAAATCCTGGGGAGTCTATTTTGGTGATTAATTATCTCGCTTATTTTAGGCTGGTTTCAGCTTCAAAAAATTATGGGCCTTCACGGGTCCTGGTTTTCTCATGTCAATAGCTTATCTAGACCCTGGAAACATAGAGTCCGATCTGCAATCTGGAGTTTCAGCTAAGTACAAGGTTTGGATCTCTTCTAATAATAATTTTTAATTGTTGAGAATGATGAAATATTATCGAATTCTGGATATTTCATGAAATTATTTCCTAGTGTTTATTCCTTGATTCGGCATTTTGAATCTAAAATGAAATAGATATTTACTGTTTCATTTTGTTAGAATGAGTTACTAAGGATGTCTATCTAAAATCGCAAGTACTTAAAAAAAATGATTTTAAAAAAACTGAGAGATGAAGATATTCTCTTCATTTTGATACAAATTTCAATTCACCAACCCATGTTCATTATTTGGAAATAAAATAGACAAAATGCACCAAATGCATGCGCCTATATGGGATAGAATCATTAAAATATTTCCTCTTTTTTGCCCGGGTACTCCAGAATTTTCTCTGGCCATTGGATTCAGTATGATTTTACACCTTACGATAAGAGGAATAATTAATGGGATGTTGGAAGACACATTACCTTCTATTTTTATTTCTTTTTTTAGAGCCTTCTAGTAGATGAATTATCAATTTGAACATAAATTTTATAAGAGCCCGTGTATCAGGAAAAATTCGTTTATTCATTTCTGCTGAGACCATTGCGATTAATTTTTTTTAACGTTAGAAAAGTTAGTTTTATATGTTCTGCTGTCAGCCGAAAAAATTACGGAATTTTCCTTGACCACGAAAAAAAAAACACATTTACCGAAAATTTACCGATACTGGCTAAACATCCTTACAAAGTATTTTTCTCCATCGAACTGTTTGACGCCTTTTTAGTTTAAAAAATTTTACAAATCAAGAACAGAAATGATTTCAAAGACAATTTCTTTGATTCGCAATTTTTAGATAAGGGAGAGTGCGGCAAAATGAAGCAGTCAAAAAACGACTGTTTGACGCAGTTCAAGCAAACAAAATTTTGTTTATTAAATTTTTTTTACAACTTTTTTTTTCTTGGGAGAACTGATGAGAATAATAATTTTCCAATCAGTAGAATGGAAAATTATTGAGAAGTTTTGATGGGCGAAGATTTTGTCAATGGATTATTCGATTGAAATTCAGCATCACATTTTCCTTTTCCCCCTCTGGGTCTCTCCCTGAGCCTTGCTCTGGACTTTGAATTTTGCTGTTTCGTTTTTTTTTCAATTAATCCATTGACAATATCTTCCCCCGTCAAAACTTCTCAATTATTTTCCATTCTACTGAATGGACAATTATTATTCTGATCGGTACTCCCAAGAATGAAAAAAAAGTTGATGAAAAAAATATTTAATAAAAAAAATTTTTTGCTTGAATTGCGTCAAACAGTCGTTTTTTTGGCTGTTTCATTTTGCCCCACTCTCCCCTACCATTTTATCTAAAAAAAAAGTTGAAAAATTATTTCACAATTATTTTAAAGAGGTCTCAAATAATTTTTTTTAGTTACTATGGGTTTTACTAGGCGCCACAATACTTGGTCTAGTGATGCAGAGGCTGAGTGCTCGTCTGGGGGTGGTAACAGGCCTCCATCTAGCTGAAATGTGCCACAGACAGTACAAAACAGTCCCCAGGTTATTCCTGTGGCTTATGATTGAGATCGCAATCATCGGCAGTGACATGCAGGAGGTCATTGGCACTGCCATTGCACTCTACCTGTTATCAGGGGGCTGGTCAGTGACTGATAAATGTCTGTGACAATTCCTCATAAATTCGGGAATTACTGAATTCACTGGTGTTTCGCTTTTTTTAGGATTCTACTCTGGGCAGGTGTTTTGATCACTATTGTCGACACTTTTACATTTTTATTCCTTGATAAATATGGATTGAGGAAACTCGAGCTCTTTTTCGGACTGTTAATCGCTATTATGGCTGTGACTTTTGGTTACGAGGTAAAATTTTTCATTTTTTATGACGAGTTTTAGGAGAAAATGTTGGGAAACATTTTTTGTGGGGAATTTTGTCAAAAGTTTTAGAGGAATTAATTAAAAAGCTTTATTACTACGCGATTATTTCAGTGATGAGAGGGTCAGAAGACCTTTTTTGTAGAGAATTTTGTCAGCTGCAAAAAAGGTCTTGCCACATTTTTTGTTAATCCCACCTTTTCAAGGATATTCCCAAACCACTGAATGTCAATATTTGCAGTTGAAAATTCTTTAGAAACAGTTCATTGAATAATTCTTCAATTATCTCAATAATGAGTCATCTTGAGAGAATAAATAACACGGCAATTTGTGTTGATAATTAAATGTTTTTAAAAACGCGGAGATAATTTCGTGCTGAATGAAACCGCTGCTCAATAATTATCACCCTCAATTATCTTAAAACCGACATTAAATAATTTTTATGTTCTAAGTACGTTGTTTCGGCTCCACCGCAATTGGAAGTAATAGAGGGAATGTTCACTCCAATGTGCAAAGACTGTGACAGCGATGCTCTCCTCAAGGCTGTTGCCATCGTCGGTGCTGTCATTATGCCGCACAATTTGTACCTCCACAGTGCTCTCGTCAAGGTACCCAATCTCATCGAAACAATGAAACATTGAAAAATGTTGTGCCAATGCTTTTGATTTTTTATTCAGTCTAGGGACATTGACAGAAGGCAGCCCAAGAAGGTCAAGGAAGCCAACATGTATTTTTTCGTTGAAGCGATAATTGCTCTACTCGTTTCCTTCGTTATCAACGTTTTTGTTGTTGCTGTATTTGCTCACGGTCTTTATGACAAGAAGAACAGTGATGTTGTGAGTATTCAAGTATATTTTATTCCATTTTAAAGTTTATTCAATCCTATTTGAGAGACGGATTAAGGCCGTCAGAGATTATGAATGATTTTAGGTTGTTCAATGCAAACCAAATGAAAAGTTCGTTGAATTGAATGAAACAGTAATGCCAGTTGGAAAAAAAAATCAAATAAAAAAATCAAAGTAGTTTAAAAAATGTCCATCAACTACGAATCTCAAATAATGTTCTGATGTCTCGAAACAAAATGTTATTTTTCAGTATCAAGTGTGTGAGGCAGCCGGTGACACCCTGGGAATGGAAACCTTCCACCAGGTGACTGATAAAACAAATAATGCTAAAAAAACAATGGCTCAGTTGATTTAACAGAATGATTTTTGCCCAGAATGATTCATCAGCAATCGACGCAGATTTGTACAAAGGAGGAGTATTTCTGGGCTGTCAATTTGGAATAGCAGCGATGTACATATGGGCGATTGGCATTCTAGCGGCTGGTCAATCATCAACGATGACTGGAACGTACACTGGGCAGTTCGCCATGGAGGGCTTCCTGAATCTCCAGTGGGCACGTTGGAAGAGGGTCTTCTTCACCCGAACAATTGCAATAGTGCCAACATTTTTCGTAGCATTTTACGCTGATATGGGGGATCTTGGGGGCATGAATGAGGTCCTCAATGCCATAATGACCCTTCAACTTCCATTCGCCACACTTCCTACTCTTGCTTTTACAAGCAGTGAGCAGATAATGGGGAAATTCAAGAATGGAATGTGAGTTTAAATGAATTTGTTTTTGTTTCTTGCTCGAAGCATTACATTTCTTAGCCGTTCTCGAGGAATATCTCCGAATCTAAGGAAGATAACGAAACTTTTCTAATGACCTTTGACTAATTGACTTTTGTAATGTGAATTGAGTGGTACAGAAACATTGAAGGGAAATTTCCCATGCATTATATGTGTCTAAAAACGAATAATTAGTGCAAAAAATCAATTGTTTATTGTTCATTTGTTCCGGAGACGCTTAAAATGTTAAAAACTATCCAGGGCCTCCAATTTTTGAGCTACAGAGGTTTTTTTTTTCAAAATTTTTGAAAAATGTGTACAAGAACAATTACGAATTAGTTTTTTTCGACTCCTACACAGCTAATTACGTTTTGCTGAATATAAAAATTTTGATTCATTCATGTAAAATAGGAAAATTATAGTTCAAATATTTGAAATATATTCTGGATTCGGTTGTACCTCTATTTATTATGGAACAATTGATTACATCAACTTATTAAATTGTCCCTGTGATGAATATTAGCAATTAATTGTGCCTTAAGAACGCAATACCGTAATAAATAGAGACAATACCCTGAACTCTTTCCGAAATATTTGTTTCGGGTCTATAAAGTGACTTGAGGGGTACAAAAAAGGTCATGACAAAAATTTTTCTATCTCTCTTAAATTTTGAGAACCCCCTTTCAAAACCATTGAATATGAAATTTTTGCTGTTTTTTTCTAAACATCAGAACTTTTATAAAATTAAGGGAAATAATAGAAATGAAAAATAAATGTTGTCTGAATTTTTCTCAATTATTTTGTCATCTGCAGATTTAATAAAGTCGTCGCAACGTTGCTGTCGGCAGCAGTAATTGCCATAAATATTTTCTTCGTAACTCAAACAGTAAATGAGAAACTCTCCAATCCAAACTGGGCAGTCATCTTCGGCATAATAATTTACGCTGTCATTTACCTTGGATTCTGTTTGTATTTCGTCATTCACATGGCTATTGCCATGGGAGCTGAATTTCTGACGAGGAATAGAGTGAGTATTTTTTTCACTATCCAACGACTGACTTCGACGTTTTGTTAATAATTATGTCTCTACTTTATCACTGTTTTTGCATTTGATTATGAAATTTGTTTTTAGTTTATTGCTAAATACGTTGGCGGCCCAACGGAAATGAGTTTCGCTCTGACAAATCCAGCAGTCTATGCCAGGTAAGACTGCACTCCAGCTGTTATCCAGCCAAATAACAAGAGATTTATAAACAATTAGTTAGGGAAATTAGAGTAAGAGAGAATTTAGTCATCCCCTAGTTTTTATAATCTGTTTTAACAATGGAATACTCATATCATCGAGAGCTTGTGGTGATGGTTTTTGTATGGAGCTGGGAGGTGCCTGTGCCTTTGTAATGTTAAAGATTGTTGAGTAATTATTTTTGTTCTGTGGAGAAAATAACAAAATCATTGATGAAGTGGTAGAACAGGAAAGATTGATTTCACGTTCATATTTCGGGACACTTTGTTCTAGTTTTAGTTGAGGGTCAGAGGATTTTTTGAAAACAATTTCATGTAACTGGTTTGACCCTCAAGGCCAATTGACCCTCAACTAAAAAAATTTTTTTTAAAAGTTTTCTGAATTGTGTTGAACAGTGATTTTGTTTCATTTTGCATAATTAATGAAAAATTTTCTGTTTTTGGTTGAGGGTCAAATGCTCTTGAGGGTCAAATGAATCTCAAAACCCTCAACTAAAAACAAATAGAAAAATTTCCCGAAATGTTCTAAATAATCTCCCCTAAGTTCCGAGATATTCACAAAAAATTCAACCGAAGTGTTCATCCTGTTCTCCCAATTCACCACTGAAATGTTCGAAACAAATGCCAAAGTGTTTAAACTATTGTTACTGCATAATTCCATGTTTCATTGTGAAATCCAAAGATCCAGCTGCGCTTGGAGTCCTCATTCTCAGGGTCAATTCATTGTAAGAATCAATAAAACATTAATTATAAAATTAATCCATCACTTGATTAATATGAAAATTAATATTTCTGTCTTTGTAAATAAAACTAACAAATGTCTCTCATCAAGTGTTCTCATGTTACTAATATTTTTGCTAATATTAAGCATTTGATTAAATCAATAAATTTCTCCCCTCGCACTTCTAAATCACTACATCCTCAACCCTTCCTAATGTACTGATTAGTGATCGAGGATAATGGATGGGTTTTGGTGCAATCTCTCGGTTTTCGGTGATTATTTAAACCTTTAGGATCATTTTTGCCACTTGAATAGATGAATTATTTCGTTCTCAGTTTTCATAACACCTCCGAGACGTCTCTGGATTGTTAGAAACCGATTTTAGTGGGCTTTCCGTTGAATATAAGGCATCAATCATGGATTACAATGAGGATAATAACGAGAATGATGTGTTGGTTGCTTTGATGAGCATCTGTGATGTCCGAAGTATTTCTTACCATCGTGGTATGTACTCAGAGTCACTAAAAAAATATTACGAAGGTCATTCCCTTGATTTTGGAGACGAGGCTAATAGTTTTTTAATAAAAAATAAAATTGTCATCGATTGTTATTCCTTTTCGCTATTTATATTTCAACCTTCCTCGAGTGGATTTCAGTTATTTGTTGCAAGTTGTAGTTTGTGGGGGTAATAATCGTAAATATGCAAGAGGAAAATTTGTTAACTCGTCGTTTCATCATTTTTATGACTAAGAAAAGTGTAATATTGTATTGTCACTAACACTGTTTCCTGACTCACGTTCGATAGCATGGCCTTGCGACGAATACCAGATATAGATTTACCTGACAGAGGTAGGTATCAGTTACTTTAAGATGATATCATGTAGTTGAAGAGATTTAAAATTGTATTGAAGGGGTAAAACGTGAAAATTGAATCGCGAAAAAGGATTTGGTTGTTGCTTCCAGTGCAAACAAAACATATCAGTAGCGAAGTGGTAAAACGGTTCAAGTCGACTTATCTCTCAGTTGAGTTTTTGAGGAATATTTCCGAATCTAAGGGAGATAGCGGAATTTTCTTGATTATATTTGTTGTAGGCCTCAATCGGTTCTACAAAAAAGGTAAGAACAAAAATTTGACTATCTCCCTTAGATTCCGAGATATTCATTAAAACCTGGTCAATAGTAAAAATTGACTTGTACCGTTTTACCACTTTGCTGCGGACATTATTTCCTAAAAATAGTGGTTTGCTGCAAAAAGATGACAAAATAGCTATTTGGTTTGAGAAATTTCTGACTTTAAGGGGAGACTTTTTTTTATCGTTATTTTACATCGCTTCGGCCCGGTTAGGGTATACTGCGATGATGATCAAGACTTTAAATGGTTAGATCGCACCATTCTACCCGGCCGGGATTTGAACTCGGAATCTTTCGCATGTGAGACAACGAAATTTGCGACAAGCCACCGGGCTAAGGGGAGACTTAAATAGTATATTTCGTAACGAGTGCAAAAAAGTGTTTTTTGGCGAGTGGGAGGTTTATATCACGAGCCGAAGGCGAGTGATATAATCCCACGAGCTAAAAAACATTTTTTCACGAGTTACGAACAATATTTTTCATCACAATGTGGCGGAAATTGGACTTTTAGGCACGCGGAGCGTGCCGAAAAGTTCACTTTTCGTCACAGCGTGATGAAAATGAATTTTAAAAATCATGGGATATTCGAGTGAGATTTCTCATGCATTGAAGATCCATTATATATTGTTTATTGTTCATTTGCTCCGCAGACGCTTAAAATGTTGAAAATACCCTAAAAAACCTCCAATTTTTTAGCTACATAGGTTTTTTTTTTCAAAATTTTTGGAAATATGTGTACACTAACAATTACGAATTAATTTTTTGAAATTCGACTCCTACACAGCTAATTTAGTTTGGTTTAATATAAAAATTTGCACCGACGGCGGTGGCTGTGTGGTTGAAGTGTGGGATTGGCATGCGGGAGACGAGGGTTCGCTTTGAACGAAATATTTTTCATTCGGCTTCACTTTACGAGAGATATGATCATCCTACTATGACGCAGTCAGATCAGATTTTTTGGAAAATTATTCGCAGAATGCAAATTCTCAAAGTAATGAGAATGTACATTCCAGCGAATAGTCTTATCACTCATGTTTTGAAATTCTATCCGGTGAAATGAAACAAATCCCTCGGTCATCATCATAAAAGTATTCTGTTGATTCAAATGAATTTCTCAAAAACAGCAATCCTCCTACGTTTCACCACTTCAATATGATAATTTCAGTCGCATTTCGAGATACTGAATTCCCTGTGTTAATCCTCGAAATTAATTTATTTTTTTAGAGTCAACCCGGCGTTCTCAATACAGGAAAACCTGAACGGTAGCTTCAACCCTCTCAGGCTGGACTGATTCTCTTATTTAATAGAAAATAATGAGTGATGAAGTGATAAAACAAAAGGAGTCAATCAGTTCTTTATTGGTTTCTCAAAATGAGTAATAAAAGAAATAGAACTTTCTTATAGAAAAATTCTTTGCACAAAACACAAAAATATCTGGGAAATGTCTCCACAAAAATATTGCCATTTTCACTGGATTCTGAGATATTCTGAAAAAAAATCAAAAGCTGTTCTTTCGTTTTAGTACTTCACTACTCAACGTTATTAACTATTAAGGTATTTTTAAATCTGAATAAAGCATAATATATTCTGTTACTCATAGTATTTTATTATCACACTGAATTATGCTTCAACATTCATTTAACAACGAAAATATCTCTGAATGCGTTACGCATAAATACATCCAAGAGGTGTTTTTAAATGAATTTCCGTGCTTTTCGATCGGCAGATCCATTTGACTTATTCTTTTAAAAGTATATTCGGAGTAATACTCCACGTTATGCGTAAATTTCCAATAAATTACGTCAAAAATAGAGTTTTCATTGTTTTATAATGATATTTCTATAGTTGTTGGCCTTTGATTCGATAAATCTCAATAATTATCACGTGCATGTCGAGATATTCGCTAGAATATTATGAAAAGTAAAAGGAAAAATCTACTCTCGACATTCTTGATGAGGTAGATACGTCCTTGGGCCCCTTGGTAGCATATAAACGTATGCAAAAATAGATTGAAAACAATTTTGTCATCTTCGTGTGACGAGTCCTGATCATTGCTTCAGGTCGATTGAATTTGGGGTGGATTAAGATTAAATTGGATCCGTGGAGAGACGGGTGTAATACTGACAATGGACTCGTTTGTAATGCCAAAAGACAAACGAGATGATGAGGAGTACGACGAAGATCAGAAGGAGAATGGCGAACATCATGATACCTGAGGACAAGATAATTATTTTTAGGAGGGACAGGGGTAAAATTAAACACCAGGAAAAATTATTACTGAGCATAATTCGACATTTCCTAATAAAACCAGGGTATCTCAAAATTCACGTTAAGACTACACTGAGAGAAAAACGACAAAGTTCTCAAACAAGTCTTACTTGTGCCACGACAATAGTTTTTTGAAAATGATCAAAAAAGAATTTTTTTTGTGCCAAACATGCAGAGAGTGCGCCGGAATGAAAATTTTTTGTCGCAAAAATAGATTTAGTAGTTCAAAAAAAATTGCATTCTCTGTACACGAAAGAAATGTCATTTCTAGCACTACTCCTTCGTTGTTCGATACTCCCTTACGTATTTTGCTCCCGAAAAATCTTTGTTTTATGCGAAACGAGGGATAGTTTTTCGTTTCGAATGTCTAATAATCATAGACAAGAAATGAACCCTTAAATGAAACAATAATAATGGAATGATAGCAATCTTGTAACTTAGGGATAAAATATTTGTTGATAAATTTTCCTCCAGATGAGATATTTTCATCCTGAAAAAGCACCGTCTGGTGTGAATTATCCGCCTCTTGAGCCAAATATTTTGGCGCTATCAAAAGCAAAACAATTATTCATGTTTCAGTCTTTCAAATTCGAACCAAACAAATTCTTTTTTGGCAATTTTTAACTAGCGATTTTGTTGGCCCAAACAAGACTTATTTGACAACGTGTTTGTTTTTCTCTGTGTAGGGTATCGCAAAAGTCATGTGAAAGCTTAGTGTTCACATCCATTTTTAAGTCTCATGGAGCTCGCAAATAATTTTATTTCTCTTCCAATGTGACCTACTTCATGTTATTTGTACTTTTTGATGCATTCATACCATTTATACAGCTGTCAAGGAAAATGTGAGATTTCAGACGATTTTTCACATGAGTTTTGAGATACCCATGTTTTAAAAAGAAAATTGAAATAAATAATTTCCAACCGTTTTTTGGAAAAATTGAAAAATGAAAAAAACTAACCGATGAATTACATTTCAATTAATGGCGATTGATAGGGCTCAATAATTTCTACATTTGAAGAAAAAGATTCAATTCCATGCATTCGTTAGCGAACAATTGATGAAAAACTTAAATTTGACCGATTACAAAGCTTCCATTCGTAAGGCTTAACTTCAAGTTTCATTGTGAAACCCGAATGTCAGGAACGCTTCGAGTCCTTATTCTCAGGATCGAGTCATTGGAAGAATCAATAAGCCATTAATGAACCTGAGGATTAAAATATTTGACATTGTAACTAAAATTAAAAAATGTCTATCATCAAGTGTTCTCATGTTCCCAATATTTTTACGAATGTTGAGAATTTGATTGAATCATTAAATTTCTCTCCTTGCACTTCTAAATGATTACATCCCCAAACCTTATCAATGTAATCGTTAATTGATTAAATGCAACTCTTTAGTTTTCAGAGATTGTTCTCTGTTTGACGCTCAACTATAAGCGAAAACGTTTCTTAAATTGGGCCAAATAATCGTTTTTCCTGGCGTTCCACTATGTATTTAATAATTCCTCTTCCAACACTCTCACCTAAAATGGTCGAAATACTGAAATCCACGCCATAAGTATCCCACGTGATTAAGCACTCTTTATCCCAGTCCTCTGGTATTATATCTTTGGTCAATTTCACGAATTGGGAGAGAGGACAGGCTGGGATGCAGCCTGGGAGGGTCAGCAGAATCGGTTCTGCTGTTGAATTCTTGTACGAGATCGTTACAACGTGCTGTTTCCTCGAGTTCAGTCTCAGTTCTATGAGAATTGTTGCTGTATAGGGCGGACAATGGGGCTCGAAGAGCCCAAGAGTCATCAGGAGATTCGCAACAGTTTCGTCATGAGCTGAGTACATGAACAATTTTCTGTCAGGTACGAGAGCTTTTTTTGATTTCTCGATCATGTGATCCACCATTTCTTTCACTAACAATCCTAAATGAATGAAAAATAAATAATGATCATCAGGAATTGATGAAAATGGTTGATTCAACTTGTAATGAATCAATTTTCTAGGGGAGAGTGGGGCGAAATGAAAAAATCAAAAGAACGACTGATGCAATTCAAGTAAAAAATTTTTTTTTTTATTAAGGCCCGGGTGTACCATCTTTCGAACGTTATCTCGATGCTTTTTTTTCTTTCGTCCTCTGAAATTGTCAATTAAGTCCTGCATCATGCAGAAGTTTTGAAAAATTATGAATGAATAATCAAAAAAAAGCATAAAAAATTCTTAATTTTTTCAAAGAGCATTTTTAATTTATATTCAAAATAAAAAAGTTGACAAAAAAAATTAATGAAGAAATTTTTTTTGCTTGAGTTGCGTCAAACAGTCGGTTTTTTTGACTGTTTCATTTTGCCCCACTCTCCCCTACATCTCGATAATTGTTAAGATAGTTCTCAGGAGTTGAAAAAAAAATATATTGAAACGCCGAGAAAACTTTGCGTCTTGAATTTTCAACGAAAAGGGAATGAAAAAATGTGAAGGAGAGCTTGAACGATTTGTCTATTTCCTAGGAACTGGATGAAATTATTTGAGGGCGATCTGAAGAGAATAAATAATTTTAAGAAATGGTCACAAAGATGGCGGCGCGCCCACCTCGTATTTTTGAAGATTTATTAAAATTATTTATGCGCTTCAAATCACCCTCAACTCATTCCATCCGGTTTCTATAAAATGAAGAAATTGTTCAAGCCGTCTTTCAGATTTTTTCATCCTCTTTTGGCTGAAAATTCATGGCGCAAAGTTTTTTCGGCATTTCGGCATTTAGCTTTTTTTTCTCCCGAGGCCCATTAATTCTATTCCAAAGTACATTTACCCATTCTGAGTCTCTGCAAAATTTTATTATTCGCCTGAGTTTGAAAACTCAGAGCCGCAAGCGGTTGCAGTTTATCCGGATAAACAGATTTGGTCCATTCTGGTAGAGTTCTGTTATAAAGACTCTAAAAATAAGAAAATGAAAACTTTTTAAATTTTTCTCACCATTTGTCCGGGGTTTTTTTTTGGGAGATATTGTCCAGGGGGATGATTCCTAGAATCGTTTTCTAGGGATATACTTTAAAATGCGTCATTTCTCCGAGTGAAATTCGTTGTTCACCCAAAATGCCGAATAATTACCTCAATAAATAAATTATCGTACAAGTAATTCAGCTGCTCCAGATCATCAATCCTCTTCCCCGCTTTCTTTGTGAGGAAATCGAACAGCTGCTGATGATCTTTTATGAGTTTTTGCATTTTCGGGGAGTTGAGAACTCGATTCAACTCGTAATTGTACCTAGCGCAGTACTTCTTCCCGGAGACGACGTTATCCTCCTTCTCCGGTGTTGTGTGAACGGGTATTGGCATCCACTTGAGCTCGTCCCAAACCTGATCACCCACTGGTGGGTACAGCCCAGCAAGGTTCGCCTCTGCCGACATCAACGTGCGATCCACATCTGTGCTGCGCACGTAGATATCGTACAGGGAGTATTTCCTGGGTAATATGTGGTCGTATCTCGCCCTGAACCACCTGCCGAGCTCCAGGTGCTGGTGTCTTCCCAGCTGCGCCCAACGGACGAAGACAAATTTCGAAATTGGGTAATCACAGAAGTGACAAATTGAGACAGTTTTGTGGAGATAAACTCCAACGCTCGTGTTATCGGGAGTCGAGGGCAATTTGTTTGAGTTTTAGATAATCACTTTTTTCTTGGGAATTTTTCGGTTGCTTCTTATGCGAATACGCGACACCGAGTTTTTCTCGAAATTCAAGGAGAACTGCATTTCAATGATCAATATTGTGATTTTGAATTCAATTTGAGATCGTATCCAGAGATAACCATAATCATAATTTAGAATTGTCGATGAAGTTTCAACTAGTCAACTGGCTAGTTTGGATGAGTTGATTCACTCTAGAATTTTTGCTTCCGAATGGAAGCATTTTTTTTTGGTCGATTTTCCGATTTTCTAATTCTGATTGCAAATGGTCTAGAGTGTTATGAAACGTGAAGAAATGATGTTTTTAAGTAATTTCGTTTGTCCTCAATATCCCAACAACTGCACCGATTTCAATTTTTTTTTTCAAAATAGTAGTCTCGATGGCCTCTATCTGGATCAATCATATCATGTATACCGATTCATACAGAGTTTGGAGATATTTACGTTTTTCCGTGTGTTCATTTTAAATCTTGTGCGCACGATAACTAAAGACAAAATGGAGATAACGACTTGAAATTTGGTATGCTTCTAGCTTTTATAGTATAAAAGGTTCTTTTTTTGGATGGGCGCAATCGGCCAAGCGGTTCTGGAGATATTTAAGTTTTTGTATAAATTTATTTCTTCAAATATCTCATGAACTACTCAACGGATTTCAGTTTTTGTTTTCAAAATACTCGTCTCGAGTTCTATCTGTCCGATTTTGATTTATTAAGCGTACAAATTTTCCATTTTTACCGCATATACGAGTATTTCCAGTATGTTTGTTTTCGATTCCTAGATATTCATAATAACGAATTAAAAAAAAAAAGTTGAAAAAGTTCAATTTTACACATTACGTCACTTTTGATTTGTTTCATTTTTTCAGTAATTCTTATAATCAAAACAAGTATTTTCAGCGGTCATACAAGTTAGGAATCCTCCTGGATCTATTTTATTTTTAATTTTTTCTTTTCGAAATTTCGCTAATTTGGTCAAAACACCCCAAAACGACTTCGATTATGTATCAAAAAAATATGTAATATTTTACAGGCAAATTCACTGCATACTGTCTATAATCAAAGTCAATCAGCGCCATTTTGGGGTGTTTTGACCAAATTTGCGGAATTTCGAAAAGAAAAAATTGAAAATAGAATAGATCCAGAAGGATCCCTAACTTGTATGACCGCTCAAAATACTTGTTTTGATTATAAGAATTACTGAAAAAAATGAAACAAATCAAAAGTGACATAATTTGCAAAATTCAGCTTTTCAACTTTTTTTAATTGAAAATTCGTTATTATGAGAGCATCTAAAGATCGAAAAAAAAATTTACTAAAAATATTCTCATAGCCAGTAAAAAAAGAAAAATTTTGACGCTTAATAAATCAAAATCGGATGGATAGAGCTCGAGTTATTAAAAAAAAAACGTAAAAACGAGAAAAAAATCATATCTCCAAACTGGGCTGCCGAAAAAATCTGAAAAAATTTGAGAGATAGTTTTCCAACCCTCCCAATCGCAGAAAAAATCGCCATTAATTTCCAAGAGGGTGAGGATTAACGGTCGGCTCATTTGGCGTGGAATCCCTCAAATACTTCTCTCAAAAAATTGAATATCTGGCAAAAATGTATTTTTTTCTCAGTGTAATAATCCCTTACATTAGTCAGTTGTCCGAACGGCACGGGCCAGAGTGACTCATTCCTCCAGGGATCAGTCGGGAAAGGATCCAGAGGGGTCCGATCCCCATGTCTGAAGAGCTGAGAACAGAAACGTCAGTCAAACGAGACGAATTAAATCCCACAATTCCTCAGTCCCGTGTACTGACGTTTCAAGATAAATCAATAAACGATGCATCACGTGAACATACATTCTACCTGCACAGTCAATCACGTCAAAGCCGTGTCATACGGAAAAAAAATAACAGCTGTCAAAATCCAACAGACGAAAACATTGTCAAACGTCTCAATTCGAGAAATGAAAACGAGTAAAGACATGTCACAAAATTGATGAAAAATTCGAAAATCAAGTGATCACAAATTTTTATTGATAAACGGATAAAGAAATGAAAAATTAAAGAGGGAAACCGCCATATGAAAAAAATTAAGAAGATGATTTTCCACTATTGACCGCATGTTCACTTGCACTTTTAACCTTGCCCTTGATACCCCATTTCCTGACCCAATGACGTTCCGAGTGAAACCGCGTCTAGTGAAAGTGGCGTCAAGGTTATATCAGCAAATGCCAGACAATTCCCCTAAAGTGAATGTAGTTTCCACGAGAGATAGTCTCAAACTTACGATATTAGCGAAGATGATATTCCCCAGCTCCGGATCCCCCGCTCTAGACGAGGGAAGAACAATGGCGACCATAAATAATAGAAGATAATGCATACCGACTAATTTAATAATGGGATTTAATGAGATGTTTCGAGGAAATTTGAATCTAGGAGAGAGTTTCACTGGCTTTGAGACATCATCGGGGTTTCTGGGGCGACCGAAAGTGTTTGAGAATCTATTCTAGGGGGAAAATGCACCCGAAATAACGGACAACCTGTGGAATACTGAATGCTTAACGCGGGGACAGGCGAAACCTAAACATATTGCTTTTGTAAATCGCCGCCCGGCCTGTCCCGCGGAAATTCCGGTGGAGGGGAGGGGCGGACGCCCATTGGTGGGTTGGAGAGTCAAGAACATTGAATTTTCATTATCGACGGTTCAGTGATCATGGTGACGAGTTATCACTGGGCTTTGTTTGATAAGAATGCGTGGGGAAAGTGTAACCGACCGGAGAATTCTAAGTTAGGGTGCAGGGGTGGTGGTGGTGGTGGGAGAGGTGGGGGAGGGGGATCCCAAATCTAGGGGAGATAGGGGAGTTTATGTCGGGAAGTCTTTACACGGAATTACATTTTCGATAGAAAAGTCTCTCGAATTTAATCTTTTCTCGAAGAAGACTTCTGCCGTTTTTCTATAGAATTGATAGTTTTGGAAATTTTTGGGGAGTAGTTTAGCGAGGATGCAGGAGTTTTAAACGGTTTTTGGAGGATATCTCGGAATGTAGGAGAGATAGGGGGATTTTTGCCGGGAAGTCTTTGCGGGGGATTAAATTGTTTATAAAAAAGTTATTCCAATTTAATTTCTCTCGAAAAAGCCTTCTGGCATTTTTTTATAGAATTGATAGCGCTGGAAATTTTCGGGAATTAGTTTAGCGAAGATGGAGGAGTTTTTAAAGTAGCTCTACCCTTCGGCCGGGCTACGCTGTACTTTTGGATATTTTCAGTTTTTTAATTTTTCAACTAAATTGCATGGAAAAAATTTGAAAAAATTCATACCCAATCAGTATTATCTAAATTAAATTTTGCAAAATATTGATATTTTTTCAAACATTTCCATCTTATAAATAAATAATAAAATTTGTTTGCAAAACGGTGGATTATTTTTTATGAGGTGTCAAAAAAATTCTTGATTTTTTCACATCTAATGAAAAAAAAATCAGATTTTAATCTTTGATTACAATGGAAGTGTTGATTTTCACGTAAGACTCTGGGTTAAATCCTGATTTTTAAACATTTCTTCTTTGAAAAACCAAAACGATAATTAAATTGAGAAGAAAACTAGAATTCCGAATCTAATCGAGTTTTCTGCAATTTTTTTGCAGTTTTCAATAATCTTTGAATTTACCGTAAGGGTAGAGCTACTTTAAATGGTTTTTAGAGGATATCTCGGAATGTAGTGGAGATAGGGGAATTTATGCCGAGAAGTCTCAACGAGGAACTTAATTTTTTCTCAAAAAAACCTTCTGATATTTTTCTATAGAACTGATAGTTTTGGAAATTTTTGGGAATTAGTTTAGGAACGATGGAGGAGTTTTAAATGGTTTTTGGAGGATATGTCTGAATGTAGGGGAGATGGGGAGATTTATGCCGTAAGTCTCGACGGGGAATTTAATTGTTTCTCAAAAAAACCTTCTGATATTTTTCTATAGAACTGATAGTTTTGAAAATTTTTAGGAATTACTTTAGCAACGATGGAGGAGTTTTCAAATAATTTTTGGAGGATATTTTGGAAGTCTCTACGGGGAATTTAATTTTTTCTCAAAAAAGCCTCCTGGAATTTTTCTATAGAACTGATAGTTTTGGAGCTTTTCAAGAATTAGTTTAACAAGGATGGAGAAGTTTTTAAATGATTTTTGGAGAATATCTCGGAACGATAAGGGGATTTATGCTGGGAAGTCTCTACGGGAAATTTAATTTTTTATAAAGTCTTGTGGTATTTTTCTATAGAACTGATAGTTTTGGAGTTTTTCGAGAATTAGTTTAACAAGGATGGAGGAGTTTTTGAATAATTTTCGAAGGATATCTCGAAACGTAGGGGAGATAGGGGGATTTATACCGGGAAGTCTTTGTAGGGGATTCGATTTTATATAAAAAAAATCTTCTGGTGTTTTTCTATAGAACTGATAGTTTCGGACATTTTCGGGAATTAGTTTAGCACGGATGGAGCAGTTTTTAAATGATTTTCGAAGGATACCTCGGAACGTAGGGGAGATAGGGGGATTTATGCCGGGAAGTCTCAATAGGGAATTTAATTTTTTCGCAAAAAAGCCTTTTGACATTTTTCCATAGAACTCATAATTTTGGGGATATTTCCGAAATAGTTAAATAGCGAAATATTCAGCAACAAATAAATTTACATAATCAGTGGAATTATCATCTCGTTTGACGGATTAAGAAATGTGTTGTCTTCGTTAGAAACAATGAACGTTGATTATTTAATATTTCTCGGTCATTCGTTCATTGTTCTAATGTTAGATTTCAAGGAAAGGCGATAAGGCCATTATTCATAAAATTATGAATAAATGTAAATATGGAAGACCTTACAGTTGAAATAAAACTATTGATAACAATTGACTCATCTGACATTGTTATTCACTAGAAATATTTGAAGCAATTAATTTATCACTTGAAACGTTTGTCAACATGTCTAAAAATGTTCAATATAATTAGTGCAAAATCGAAATGAACTTCAAATCAGATAATAAATTCGTCTGCTATTCATCATTCTCCGTAATCTCACTTATCATCTCTCAAATCCACAATAGTGTGTGACTCGTGTTGACACTCTAGTCAAGACGGTCATCCGATTGGTGAGAATTTTCGATAGTGTCAACGTCAAGTTGTGAAAAAATACAAACAACATCAGTTTTATTCGTTCGAGACGCCAACGTTCGAGAGACTTCAGTTCACTTCCGTCGTCTTTCATATCTCAAGCTGAGATCACACATTCAACAATTGAAAAAAAAAGGGATTAAGAGAAATGAGTTCAGGTGAGGGTTGACAACATTATAAGAAACATTTACCACTCCAATATTGCTAGACTAGAGCTAATGGATTAAGGATATCCAAGTATTTTTTTGGCTATTTTTCTCCAGTGAAATACTATGTTTCGGGACAATTTACAATGATTTTATTATTTAAACTTTGCAAGTCTGAATTTGAATCCTGATATTGAACAATTAGAACACATTTTAAAAATCTGAAAAAAAAAATGGAAGTCTACTTTTGGAGGAAGATTGATGAAATGATTAGAAAATTTCAATTTTTTAAAAGTCTAAAAAAATAAGGCTTCCGAAAGTTTAAACAATTTCAATTATTTATTTATAAACCACGAATGTTTAAAAGCTAATAATTCTATGCAAAATGTTGTTTGAATGCCGCTGAATATTCATGATTTTGTTAAAAAAATTTTCACGCAATTTAATTGACAAATTTGATGATGGGAAATGATTGAATCTATAGTGATATGGTCTGTCTCAAGCTGTAAAAAAACTTGGATATCCTTAATTTCAGATAGCCAAAAATTTAAAGAGATAAATAGCACGTGATCCGCATGGATTATTCGAACGCTATCTCGATTGTTTTTCCATCTCCATAATCTAAAATATATCACAATTTCCATTGGATTTTAAATCACGCAGTAGTCCCTAAAAATCATGATTGTGCAATCAAAAAAAGTAGAAAAAAAACTGAACTTTTTAAAGAGCGTTTTTAATAAAGATTAAGAAATAAGTCCAATAGAGAGCAAAAAATGAATGGATAATTTATCATAGTAACTAACGGTCTGACAGCCATTGACTGCTGTGACAAATGACGACCCAACAGCCAATAGATACATGAAATTATTAATTTGCAATTTCCTCCCTATTGGGTTTATTTCCCAATATTATTTAAAAACGTTCTTTGAAAATGTTCAGCTTTTTTTCAACGTTTTTTTGATTTTACAATCATAATTTTGGGAGACTCCAGGGCTATGTAAAGCTGCGTAGCAATTGCAGATCATATCGGATTATTAAAATGAAAAAAACAACCAAGATCACGTTCAAAGAATAATCCACCTGGGCCTTAATAAAATAGTATATTTCGCGTCGAAAACCCCTGTGGCACTAGGGGCGAAGGATATTTTTCCGTAGTGACTTTCACTTTTGCCAGTTCGGGAAAGGGTCAATACCAATCCCCGGACTGGGAAAAGTGAAGGTCAGTACGGAGAATTTTGTTTTGCTTGAATTGCGTCATTTCGCCCCATGTTTCATTTTGCACCAGTCTCCCCTAGAAAAAAACTGATCATTTTTAAAGAGCGTTTTTAATAAAGATGAGGAAATAAGTCCGATAGAGAGGAAATTGTAAATGGATAATTTATTATGGTAACTAATGACGTGACAGCCATTGGCTACTGTGACAAATGATGATCTAAAAGCCATTAGATACAGTGAATCATTAATTTGCCATTTCCGCCCTATCGGGTCTATTTCCCAATATTATCTAAGAACGCTAATTGAAAATGTTCAGCTTTTTTCCAACGTTTCTTTGATGGTACAATCATAACTTGTGGAAACTCTAGGGCTATGTAAAACTGAATGACAATTGGAGAACATGTCAGATTATTATTAAAAAAAAAATTACGTTTGAAAGATTATCATTCATGATTTGGATTCAAGGGAACAGACTGACGGTGCCAAAGGGCCCAAAGCTGTCTAGCCCAAGAAGAAGTCGATCACCTCCAGTCGAATCGCAAAAGACACCCTCTAAGAATATAGAGATTCAGAAAAAATATGAAGATTGGCGTTCGGATGCTTCAATCGAGACTCGTCCCGCACGTCCGCCATCGCCGAGGAACGACTCGTACATTAATTTTCAAAAAAATAAATGATGAAAATTTTTTTAATATTGCACAATGAATTCATATTTAATTAACGAGCAATATTTCTAATGTTTACCAATGAAAAATTTGTAAAATGAAACGAGTGATAACAATTGACTCATCTCATTATATTTGACTAAAAATGTTTGAAATACAAAATTTATCACTTATCCCACATAAATCTATATATTACATATTATCCTCATGTCTTTGAATTATTCTAAAATCCATTTTTCATACAATTTTATTCACCAGAACCACAGAACGATAAAAAATTAAGCTGGAGGAGAAAACAATAGCGAGCAACAATGAAACATTAATTAACAATTAAAAAAAATCTTAACAATCTACGAAATATTGCGATGAATACCAATCGATGTGAACTGCCGTGGAAAAACGCTCACGTTTTCGATAAAAATTTTAATGATTTGAAAGATTTTTTTGTACACAAAATTGAATATTTGATTTTTTGTACACAAAATTGAATATTTGAGACTGTTTTGAACAATTTCATCTCGCCTACTTATCAGTTATTTAGTTCAAGGTTCAAACGATGGAGCGGGTACTTATTCCGAATGGTATTGAGCAATTTTTCTGGATTATTATTTTTTCGAGAATAGTTCAATGTGGAAGTGGTACGCTGATTATGTCCGTCTTGTTGAATGTTCAATTGTCTCAGCAATGAGAGGATCTAAAGGAAGATGTCGTGAAACATTTCTCGTTAAGAATCTAATCCTCTACAAAATTTTAATGAAGATTAGTAAATAAGTCCGATAGAGAGGAAATTGTCAATGAATAGGGGAGAGTGGGGCAAAATGAAACAGTTAAAAAAAGGATTGTTTGACGCAATTCAAGCAAAAAATATTTTTTTTCATTAATCATTTTTTTTATTAACTTTTTTTATTCTTGGGAGTACTGATGAGAATAATAATTTTTCATTCAGTCGAATGGAAAATTATTGAGAAGTTTTGACGGGCGAAGAATTGTCAATGGATTGATTGAAAAGGGAATGAAACAGCAAAATCCAAAGCCCTGAGCAAGGCCCCTCTGGGGGAGGCCCAGAGGGGGAAAAGGGAAATGTGATGCTGAATTTGAATGGAATAATCCATTGACAAAGTCTTCTCTCATCACATTCTACTGAATGGAAATTTATTGTTCTCCAGGAATAAAAAAAAGTTGACAAAAAAAATATTTAATGAAAAAAAATTTTTTTTGCTTGAATTGCATCAAACAGTGGTTTTTTGACTGTGTCATTTTGCCCCACTCTCCCCTAATTTATCATGGTAAGTAATGATCTAACAGCCATTGGACCCCGTAAATTATTAATTTGTAATTTCTTCCCTATTGGCTTTATTTCCCAACATGTCAAAATGTTCAGTTTTTTTGAACGTTTTTTTGACTGTACAATCAGGATTTTTGGAAACCCCAGGGCTATGTAAAACTGAATAGCAATTCAAGAAAATTTCAGATTATAAAAAAAAAATAACCAAGATGATGATCTGGTAATTCATGATTTTTATTTTACGGAACTGACGATGCCCAAGGGCCCAAGGGAGAATGTCAAAAAATATTTGCAAAACTCGACATTGTCTCCTGAAATATCTTGTTCACGAGGCCATTCAACAATTAACAAAAATATCAAAATTCATCAGAATTTACCACTTCGTTATCGCATCAATTCCCACAATTTTTGGAATTTTCGAACTTTGAACACCATGAACTTCTCTTGTGGACGCCACAGACAAAATTCGGTCCGATTGACATCCGGAATGCTCAAAGTTTCTAGAAATACATGATAAAGCGTTCCTTTAGGCCCACGTGCAGACTCCTGCAGAATTTATATGTGAAATTTCTCTCCTCTTCTTTATCAAGAACATCACATTTTTCTTTGACGATAGCGTTGCACCAGGGATACGAGACCTTGGGCTAAGAATGGCCACATGATCATCAGTGCGAATATCCGAGGGGAGCAGTCCCTCAGTGGCCACCACTTGGGATAAACACTTGGTCGCTCCTAAAATTAATGAAAATATCTCGATCATTAAGAAAATTCGATTGACGATGGGAGAAACCATCACTGAAAATAATTGAAAGAACTTTTTTTTAGTTGAGGTCAACCAGAGAATAATCCCGAGAACAAAACGATTGCATTGAGAGGCCAAAATTCATTCATTATCTTCGATGAATTAACGATTACGTTACGAAGTGTTGAAGTTGTAGTAATTTAGAAGTTCAAGAAGAGATATCAAATAATTTAATAAAATCCATTTGGATTTCCCAATGAAACATCGAATTATGCATTGACAATACTTTAAACACTCTGGAATTTGTTAGAAACGTTTCAGTACTGAAGTGGAAGAAGAGGATGAAACTTTGGACCTCTAAACCATTTGACCTTCAACTAAAAACGAAAAAAAAAAAAAAAAACGTCATATAGCCATTTGAAGCGAAAATGTCACTCATTTGAAGCCAAAATCACATTTAAAAATCTCTTTACATGCTGCGGTGCCAATGCCTGCAACGCCTTCCCCTCCAGTCCCCTCACCCTCCCAGTTATCCTGTCCAAATCCCTCTGAAGATTCTGCATGGTAACAGCAATTTGACTGAGAAACTCGGCATTATCCTTCTTCTCCCTCGAGCGTCCCCTATCCTGATTGCACTTGGTCTCCTCAACATCACTCTTATACCCATTCGTTAGACTATTCGGGACCTTCGTAGTGCTCTGCACAGCAGACTTTGTAACCGTCCTCTCAGGTGCGACCTGCAAGAAATTTATTACGCAAAAAAAGCGATAACTTATGCAGTGAAATTACGAGTCATACTGAATTGCATAAAATATTGTGAATATGAAGGATACGCTGAGAAAAAAAAATTATTTTTGTCAAATATCCATTTATTTGAGGGAAGTATTTAGTTTTTCAATACCATAGGGGAGAGTGCGGCAGAATGAAACAGCGGGGCAAAATGAAGCAGTCGAAAAAACGACTGTTTGACGCAATTCAAGCAAAAAAAAAATCTTCATTCAATATTTTTTTATTAATTTTTTTTTATTCTTGGGAGTACTGACGAGAATAATAATTTTCCATTCAGTAGACTGGAAAATTATTGAGAAGTTTTGACGGGCGAAGATTTTGTGAATGGATTAATTGAAAAGAAAATGAAACAGCAAAATCCAAAGTCCAGAGCAAGGCCCAGGGGGAGACCCAGAGGGGGAAGAAGGAGAATGTGATGCTGAATTTCAATGGAATAATCCATTGGCAAAATCTTCGCCGATCAAAACTTCTCGATAATTTTCCATTCTACTGAATGGAAAATTATTACTCTCATCAGTACACCCAAGAATAAAAAAAAGTTAACAAAAAAAATATTTAATAAACAAATTTTTTTTTCTGAATTGCGTCAAACAGTCGTTTTTTTGCATGTTTCATTTTGCCCCACTCTCCCCTATTTCTCCATTCGATTTATTCTCAGACAATCCTCATTATGTTTCAATTATGTTAATTATATTGCTCTAGAAGATGATCATGTTAGTTATGATCTTGAGTGAATTCCTTCAATAATTATCAATATCCAAAAATTCAGTAGCAAAGTGGTAAAACGGTACAAGTTATTTTTGAATATTGACCAGTTTTCAATGAATATCTCGGAATCTAAGGGAGATAGCAAAATTTTTGTTATAACCTTTTTTGTAGAGCCGATTGAGTGCTGCAATAAATATAATTACGACAATTTCGCTATCTCCCTTAGATTCGGAAATATTCCTCAAAAACTCAACTGGGAGGTAAGTCGACTTAAACCGTTTTATCACTTCGCTACTGAATTAATTGAAATTCTTCCCTCCAGAAAATAAGAAATTTAGAAAAAAATGGATAATCATTGAAGAAGTTCATCCAAGGTCATGTGCATTATCATCTTCTAGAGGGACATGATTATTATAATTGAAAACTAATCAGGCTCGCCTGGGAACGTCTCGATTGGAGAAATACGATTTTGAAAAAATGAATGGTTCTCTCAAGTAAATGAATACTTGGCAAAAAATTTTTTTTTTCTTAGTGTATTGTTTGTAAATAATACTCCTACCATTTGATGGAAATTTACCTCGACTGTGTCTTTGAATTCCTCGTCTTCACCATCTGTGTCTGGTGGAAGAGGACTCGCACTGTGACTACTCGCTGGACTTGTCTCCAAGCTGCTTGATATATGTCTCGATGGGTTTCTCACTCTCTGAGGAGATGTTTCCCTCGATCCTAGTGAAATTAATTGATCGGTTGAACAACCAAATCTATAAAATCATCTCAACACTTCATTTAGAGAGCATCTCATTCACTCAATCAGGAACTGAACACTCAGTTCACAGAAAAAAACGACAGAGTTCTCAAACAAGACTTACTTGTGCCAAGAAAATAGCTGTTTTAAAAATGATCAAAAAAGGATTTTTTTGTGCCCAACATGCAAAGGGTGCGGAGATGAACAATTCTTGTCATAAAATTAGATTTAGTAGTTAAAAAAAAAATTGCATTCTCTGTACACACAAGAAATGTCATCTTTGTCATTAATTTATTTTATTGTCTTCATTCCAATTTTTCTTTGCGGTTAGATTAATTTAAATTTATTGGATTCTATTCCCATCGTAGTATACAAATTGTGGGAACAGTTTTTCTCATTTTCAAATGAAGAGATATTAATGTAAAATATCTCTATATATATATCAGTATAATATAATAATTCCTAAATTTTTCATGATCTGATTTCATTGAGCGGAAATGAGAAAAATGCAGGAAGAGATGATCAGCAAGAAAACAAAAGAAAATTTTTTTTTATTTTTCTGAAAAATTTCAAAACTGATTTTTTTTTAATGACGAAAAAATATCAATATGTTCCCTTTCTTTGATCTACTTTCAATGGAAGAAAGTGAAAAAAGTAACAGAGATACGTGATCAGCAGGAAAATAAAAATTTCGATTTTTCAATGCTTCCGGAAAGTTTTAAAATTGATATATTTTTTCAAATAATGAAAGAATACCCATCAATTCAATTTCTACCCTCACATGTTGATAGAATGCATAAAAAAAAATAGCAAAGAATAAAAATCGGAGATGAAAAATTTTATCGGATTAATATAATGTAATACCACGGAATCCAAGGTAGGTAGTCGAATTTTCGTCATAACCGTTTTTGTAGCTCTCAATTCGCTCTACAAAAAAGGTCATTACAAAAATTTCGCTATCTCTCTTGAATTCAGAGATATTCCTCGAAAACTCAGCCGAGAGCCAAGTCGACATCAATCGTTCTACTGCTTCGCTACTGCATTCAATTTCCCACTCGTTTCATCTACCTAGAGGAGATCCCGAGAGTGGAGACCCTGGTTGTGACCTTATACGTTCAATAACTGGTCCCACCAATAGTTCAAGGTCCTCAGCGGGTACACTCTCGTAGAATGCGTCCAAACTACCCAAGAAAGTGGCGACATTGTCGGTGTAGGACATAGTCTCGACGATTTTCTTCAATTCTTCGACGTAATTGTTCATCGCCTCCTGACGACTCATGTTCCCGAGTCTCATCCAAGCGTCCCATTTCGCTTTTCTCACTACTTCCCAGAAGGCGGGTTTCGACTGCTGGCAGGGACCTTCTGTCGCCTGTTTGTAATATGCGTAGAAACGGAGCTGCAGCTCGTGACTCGGTTGATAAGCACCTGGGAATTATCAGTGATGGGGAATTCGATGGCTATTTTTAGAGTGTCCAATGGAAAATGGTATTTCAAATAGTTAATCGTCACAAAATACTGTTGTGAATAGTCGTTTCAATGAGATTTAGAGAATAGTGTCTAATTCAGTAGTGAAGTGGTGAAACAGTTCAAGTCAATTCTCTTCTAGCGCCAGTTCTCGATGAATATCTCAAATTCTAAAGGAGTTTGCAAAATTTTCCTAAAAATCTTTTTTGTAAAAAAAAGTGAAGACTATTGAAAAAGATTTTACAAAAATTTCGCTATCTTTCTTAAATTCCGAGTTATTCAACAAAAACTCAACTGGGAGCTAAGTCGACTTAAACCGATTGACCACTTCACTACTGAATTATTTTAGGGGAGGGTGGGGTAAAATGGACATTTTTAGCTTTTTTAAAAATATTCATAAGTGAGAAACAGATTTATCAATTTAGCTTAGTCTAAACTCGTCACAAAGGGGAAGAATTGTGCTTTCAATTGAAAAATAAAATTATTTCATTTCATGAACAATTCAACACGTCATGAGCATTTTAAAAAAGTCAAGTGTCCATTTCACCCCACCCTCCACTACAGATCTGAAAAAACACAATAAATGAGAATAAAAAATGTGTTAAATCGCTTATTTATGATGTTTAATGACTCTGAAATACCAAAAATAATTCTAAACCTTATCTTCGCATGAATTACAAAAAAAAAAATCCATCCACAGTTCAAATTTCAATTTTAAATTTATGCAGCATGAACCAAAGTTCACGTCAATAAATCAAAAACCTCTTCTTCAAAATCATTATTAAGAGTGAGAATGTGAAAGTGTTAATCCAATTTTTTGCACTCATCAGAGCCCGACCAGATTCCCGTACTTATTCTCACTTTCGAAACTTCACGCTACAGCCTCTACCATGAATAACAAACGTAACTGTCAGGTAATAGAACATCCTAAGAAATGTGCAAAAACCCGAGTTATGAATTAGCAAATCCAGTATAATGGATAGTTCCATCTCCACAAAGGGAAAAAAATATCATGAATAATGCATCCACAGCAATAGATTCTTCACTCGAATGCATTCATTAATAAAAAAAAATGTTTAGCGATAATGTAAATATAATTACCGATTAAAAATTGACACTTGTATATTCACAATCAACCGTATCTTTACATAAAAGTGTTGTCAAATAAATAATTTTGAAGAAACAATAGTACTAAATATAATAATAACGATTATACGAGAGAAATGAAATAAATGATCAAAGTGATATCTCGTAATTTTCCAAAAATCAATGCACGATAAAATTAATGAATGAAAAATCTATTCCCTAAAATTTTCCATATTTTCTCCCTCTCAATCACCAAAAGATAATGAGTTCATGTGGACTTTGTCTCGACTCACGCGACGTCACAAGTTCACTCGAAAAAGAAATAGTACACGATAAAACTGATGATCAAATGGAGCCCTTTCCCCTCTAGAATTAGCAATAGAATGAATAAAGAAAAAAAAATTTTATCATCACTTACCATTTTTAGGCAGACTCCTGATGACATTGACAGCAGCATCGAACTTTTCCTCGGTGGTCATGCCTCTCCTTTCACTCGTCACAAAACAAGAGCCTTATATTTACGTCTCAAGTGTTAAAACCCCCGACAAATAAAGAAAAGAAAAAAAATTAAAGACATTCGACAGTTGCGTTCACTTCAACGACACTTGCTGCACAAGAGCGCAACTCTCCTCCGATCAACGAGTCTAGTATAGGTACTAAATGAAAATGAATGAAAATAGGTGACAATTTTTTTTGGTATATTTTTTCTACTCGGTGGCTCTGCCAATGGCGATTGAGCTCGTTTTCACTCGGTTCGAGTTCAGACTATGTCTATGCGGATTTCCTGTGGATCTGAAGGACGGAGCAATGGGGAGCCTCAACACTAGGAGGGACTGGCTCTCATTGGTCCATCTACATGTGTATAGTCTGGTAATTAACGACCAATGGAATACAACAGTCCGTGAATACTTTCCCGTACAGAACGGCATTCATCCGCGATAAAACGGTACATCATTAACGTTATTCTCATTTTTAGTGAATGGTGGAGGTCGTTAATCAGGTGTCATAAGTTAATCAAGGTGTTCAAGGTATCCAAGTGCTACTGATTCGATCGTTAAACAGTTAATCCACTCTGATATTGCATAGATAGCATCAGGAATAGGGCATAACAATTGTTTTTGCAGTGATAAATCATTAGCGAAACTGTGAAATGAAAATGCAACTCAATTTCGTCATCAGCTTTTGATAAATATCTTGAAATCTACATTATATCGGCTGATTTTCAGAAATTTTGGTAAAACGAAGGGAGGAATTTATTCATTTTCCCAATGAACCTTCTCAAATCATCAATATCTTCTGAACTAGTGATGCAGTTGGCATGAGTGAAACCTCAGTTTGAAATCTGTAAAAATATTTTCAACATTAAGTTATTGATGACTAAGAATGGCTCATTTTTTTGTTCATTTTACCCTTCTCTCTCCAATTTTTAAGAGTTACATTAATGAAATTATCGTTCGAAAGATTAAAATCGTCATGACATTTTTTCGGAGCAGTTGTGAAAATATGGAGTAATTATTCTGCTCCGAAATGACTCGTGTAATATGCCGACGGAGCAGCCGGCCAAAATATTTTGTGCCTGAGTGCATTTTAATGAGTTGACGATTCTGATAAATATTGATGAGTTGAATTATTCGAGTGTGACTTAAATTTCAAATTAATTCCTCTACAACACTCAATACATTGTGAATTCGCCGAAAATTCCCCTCATTAATTGTAACTGCAAAGTTCATTTTCATAGTTGTTGAATTCTGATATATTGAGTATAACTCAACTCAATGTATTGAGTTTTGTTATGTTGAGATACGCGTTATGTTGTTATGTTGAGATGTTTGCGAAACGTCGGCAAAAAGTTTAATCTAGACGCGGCCTCCATTCGGAAGCCACAACAATAAATAATAACGTTGGCCGCGAAAGCCTCAAAACTCAAATTGAATAACTACGGCAATGAACTTTGGAGTTCCAAATCCTTTAATAAAAAATCCAGTGCAACGTTTTTTGAAGCTAATCTATTCGGCGCATTGTGTCATTAGATTTTTCATAAATGATGATAGTATACATTACAGATATTACGATAATACTTTATTATATTTTTTGTGATACCTGCCTCAAAAGTGCACTTTTCGAAACAGATTAGTGTGCGTAAAGCGGTTGTTTCCCGCACGGCGAGCGTAAAATTCACGAGCGTGCGTAAAGTGAATTTCGAGTGCGTAAAGAGAGCTGCGCGGAATTATCTGAGGGATAACTCTTGATGCCATCCCTACCCTTTGCTCTCCTCTTTTCACTTTCCCTCCCCCTCTTGCCCCTTTCTACCTATCCCTTCTTATTCTTGCACCCTTCCCTCTTTCATCGCTACCATTTCGCACTTTTGCTATTCATCCGTTTGTTTGGAACCCGCCGAAGCCTGCTCTTTCTGTTGCATATTGCTTCTTCTCATCTTACTCTGTATTTTATGTAATTTCCATTATTAGCATGTATTGATTACTCCACGATATTCACTGTGATTTACTGTATACCAGCTTATGTGGTTTTGCCACCATAATTTTGTACAACATAATGTACAGCAATAAACTCAATCAATCAATCAATCAATACTATATTATAATACATTATGCATATTATTATTATCAGTTTATTATTTCATTTTTTTATTATGCACATTATATTTTATAATACACAGGGGAGGGGAGGGTAAAATGGACACTGTTGACTTTTTTAAAAATATTCATGACGTGTTGAATTGTTCATGAAATGGAATAATTTTATTTTTCAATTGAAAGAACAATGATTCCTCTTTGTGATGAGCTTGGACTGAACTCAATTGATAAATCTGTTTCTGAGTTATGAATAATTTTAAAAAAGTCCAAAAGTGTCCATTTTACTCCACTCTCCCCTATAGTACTCTATTATATATTGTATATTATACATAGTATATATAATATAGTATAGTATTATCGTAATATCTTTAATGTACCCTGTCATCATTTATAAAAAATCTAATGACACAATACGCCGAATAGATTGGTTTAAAAAAAAGTCACACTGGATGTCTTATATATAAAAAAAATAGAATACATTCCTGAAACGTTTCCTTCGGAAACGTTGATATTAATCTAGTTAATTTAAAATAAAATGGAGACAAAATTTATCGCTTATCATTCAAAAATATTTTTTTTTGTAATCAGAGGAAAAAACGGCAAATAATTGCAAAGAAAGCCATACAAAATCAAGAATTCTAGTGTTTTCTCGAGATCAATGGGAATGAAATGCTTTTGTTGATGATTTTAAGAGCGAGTAAATAATGACGACCGTTGGGAAAGGTCGAGGCTGGAGTAGACATACCGAGGAACCAGTCCTGAGAAAACCCGGGCCACCCCCAAGACCCAGAGACGAATTAATCGAGAGAATTCGAGGGATTGACATCACTGACGTGGCCGCCATCAAAGAATCATCGAGTCCAGCGGCTGAAATAGTCCCGGACAAGCAGAATCTGACGTGAGTATACCTCGAAAGCATGTTTTTACAATTTTTTATTGATTCATTTGACTGTCATAAATAATTTTGTGGGTTTTTGCTGATCAGGAAAATCACCAAGCTTTATAATGAAGCTCTTGAGGACAGGAATTTTACCCCAAACCTGCTGGCGATTTTTCATAATCCCAGCAATAATCTTCCGGCTTTTTTGACACTGCTGCAGCCTGATTATGAAAGTAAGATGATCAAGAGTGAATATTTAGAAAACACGAATTCAGGAGCGGAGTGATGAATTAATTTTTACATTTTTTCAATTGTTAATTCATCTCAGATGTTAATTCATCCCAGAAATGAGTGAAACAACATCAAGAGAAAAATGGACATAATATCACAAAAATTATTTCTTGAGCGAAAAACATCGCATAGATATTTGATCAGTTTATGGCAGGTTTCAGACAAGAAATCGGTACTCTTCAGGTAAGGAGGAAGTTACTGAATGAAAAGGTGATGTCTTTTTTCGAAATGAGATAATATTCCTTAAAAGACAAGAGTAGTTTGACAGAAGGAAAAGAAGATGTTGCTTCCTTTCGAGCTCAAAGCGATTGAGCGTAAGCGACGGTTATATTTTTTTAATATCTGGAGGTTTTCCTCTGCACAAACTCTCTATTCATTCAGTATGAAAGTCTCTGATTCACTGATTCGAAGCTTTTAATATTTTCAGTAATTTTCTCATTTTCTGTCACGAAAAAAGCGATTTGTTGTGGCAGGAAATTCTCACTTTACCATGAAATGTTCATGTTCAAGTGATGAACACTTCACCGAAATCTGACATTGTCTGACACATTATTCGAAATTCTGATCCCAAGAAATTTATCCTCAAGAGATGAGATATTTGGCGCAAGAATTAGTTTTGTGATATGACGATATTTCTCGCAGTGTACACCGAGAAAACCCCAGTTTTTTTAGAAGTACATCGTTACTTATATTATGAAGCTCGTGGTTTGAAAATTTTGAAGAGCAAAATATTTTGCACTAAGAAAAAAAAAAGCTTTTGTCAAGAAATTTTGCACTTGTTCTAAAGACGAGGACAATTTCTTGATGCCCAGAAGGCGATTTTCCAAACCAAGTAAAATTGAACTAATTCATTTAATAGTTTAATTAGCCTCAATGTTAAAATATTGCAATGCAAAAATCCCTTGAATTGATTTGAGAATTCGTTTTCTTGATATGAACCAAGTATAAAATTTCTTGGCGTAAGTTTTTTATTCTCTGTGAGAGATATTGGGCGTTTGGTAATTTTCAAGACATGAATTTCTTGATTCAAGTAGACGTACTTCTCAAAAAACTCTTGTCTTCCCAGTGTAGGAGAATAGGCGAAAAAGCTCATGAAATTCGCAAAAAATAAGTCTTTTAAAATATTCCTCTAATTAAATGATCTATCAACAAGATAATATAATCCTAAGTATTCATTTTGTTAAAATTGTTTTTTTTTCTTTCAGGGCGAGAAGCCTTTTCGAAAAACTCACCCTCTAAATTCCTAAATTTTGTATATATAATGGGAGAGATTGTCCAACGACCTACTACATTCCTTCCTGGTCGCATTAACGATGTCTTCATATCTGCGATCATCGATTTATGTAAAATTTTATTGGAGTCCTCCGAAGAGGACGAAATCGAAGTTGTCATGAACCAGGTAATTTTTTTCCTCTTCATATTTTCAAGATGTTGTTATTTCGATAAAGAATAGTTCCACCAAAAATATTAACAGACATTTTTTCTTGGAAGCTGCAAAAAAGCCAGAATCCATTTTTTCCTGCCACCATTCATTATCGACATACGAAGACAATTACGAGAAATGAAAATAATTGAAACAATTAAACGCAATCATCACGAAAATGACCGTTAATTTTGTTTCTGGTGATTAGATTTGGCTCAACGGAGAAAGACTGAATGCAGCTCAACCGAAGGAGCTGTCAGAATTACTGAGTAAGATCAAAGGTGTTCTGATATCCAGAAACTTGAGCACTCGATCGAGAGCGATGCTCCTGTACACAATCGAAATTTCGCATAATAATTACTCGACATCACTAAACTCTGATCTCGAAAAATTCTACGAATCACATTTGAGCAAGGAGACGATCGGTGAGTTGATTGAACGGAGGAATTTGGCATCGGTTATTGAAGCTAGAAATTTGGAACCAAAAATTCCGGAGCTCAAAATTCCGGAAAAACGTGAGTACATGAATTTTCGTTGTTGAATATTATTCATTTGAAATGTCAGGGAACACTTTTAACTGGGAATTTTAGTTCATTACTTTTTTTTTAGATACAATGACTCCTTGCTGAATCTCAGGGTTATGTTTTTAGAACACAGTCTTGGGGTGAGGAAATTTTGCAATCTGTACTGAGAGTGGTGATTTTCATCATTTCAATTGTAAATTCGTAATTTAAGGCCCGGGTGGATTATCTGGCGATTATCTGAAATGATATCCAATTACTATTCAGTTTGACATATCCCCGGAGTCTCCGAAAAGTTATGATTGTACAATCAAAAAAACATTGGAAAAAAACTGAACATTTTCAAAGAGCGTTTTTTAATAATGTTGGGAAATAAACCCGATAGGGAGGAAATTGCAAATTAATAATTTGATGTATCTAATGGTTGTTGAGTTGTCATTTGTCACAGTAGTCAATGGCTGTCAGATCATTAGTTACCATGATAAATTATCCATTCACTATTTCCTCTCTATCGGACTTGTTTCTTAATCTTTATTAAAAACGCTCTTTGAAAATGTTTATTTTTTTTTCTACTTTTTTTGATTGTACAATCATAATTTTTAGGGACTCCTGTGTGATGAAAAATTTAATGGAAATTGTGATATATTTTACATTATGAAGATGGGGGAATCATAAGCTACAAACAAGTCGGTTCAAAATTTTTTAGATAATGCCTCATTTCGAAGGAAAATGTCGTGAAATTTGTTTGTTGGAAAATTCATAAGCTAAATAAATCCCCCTTTCCTCCTAAACCGACTGTGAATTTTCCTCCAGCAAAGAAACGATGGAATTTTGTTTTCAGAATCCCCCCCTCGCTTCAACCTCAATAAACCCAAAAAACCAGAGGAGAAGGAGCCTCAGAAGCATCCTCAACCCAACCCAGGCCGTCCCCGAGCCATCCGAGGTTCTGGAGTCAACGGGAGTCGTGACGAGGAGAAAAAAAATCCCAAGAAGTCACCCTCTTCCAACTGGTCGGATGGAAAAAAGGGATGGGGACATGATGACCGTTTCGAGAGAGATTACTAAGACTCACGAGTGCATAATTAAAACTTTCGAAGTTTCGAGTTTTATCAAGTCTTTGATATTATTTTTGTTTCCAATCTGAAAAACTGATTTTTTGTTCATTGTCATTTAAACTTGCATAATGAATGAGTAATCTCAACTTTAATAAATTAATTTTTTATTCATTGATGAATTATTGTTTTTGGATGATTACCCCCGCCATCCCTTTGAATCCATTGTATAATAATAATATTAAATTCAATGAAATGAAGAAAAAATAGATAATTAAATGAATAAAAATGGAATATTTAAGGTGTTTCGTGTTTTAATCAACCGAGAGGTGAAATGGAAGGGGAGTCTTATTGTTCTCGAGCCCTGATTCAATTGCTGAGCACGAAATTTTCCACTTTTCAAGTAACTATTTGAGTGCGCATTTGAACATTTTTTGAATATTCATTTTATTCATCAGATTGATTGATTTTTTTGTGATCACCTATGGATGTCAAATAATTTTTATTGGATATTTTTCTAATTATTGAAATAATATTAAAATGCGTCTCGAGTTGGTAAACCTGTCGAGTGTTTTCTCTCAGTTCCATGGTCCAACCCATACCTTTCCCACGATGTTCACTTGACCTTCAAATCACGCGCCTGCGCGTGAGGGCGTAATTGCCCCGAAACTCATAATTTTCCGAATCATTTGTTCAAATAACTTTCTTATGAAATCTGAAAAAAATCTGAAACTTATACGCGTTCTCAAGAAAGATTTGATTTATCCCCCACTATTTTTTCCTCAATAGTTCATCATTTTTTTGGGTGACACGGGAATTTCCCTAATTGAGAGTGGGGTAACCTCGGAGGTTATAGCTGGAGGGGTTACAGAAACATCCAAATTTCATTGTTGTTTTTCTTGATACTGAGATCTGAAAAAAATGTGCAAAAATTCTCAATGCTGCAGCATACTCAGGAATTTCTCCCATGAATTTTTCAATTTTTTTTTCATTATTTTGACTTTTTACAGGAAAGACCTTAATTGAATTTAAATACTGCTGAATTCATATTGTTGTTAATGCAATCTCCCGACACGTGAGGTCTGCACTGTTGCCCATGTTTTTCACGATGTCGGTGGAGAAATAAGTGTGCTCCGAAATTATTTAAAAATAGCGATAAGACAGGTGTTATTCATAAACAAAACTTTGATTCGTTTGAAATCACCTTAGGAGGAATCGAGGGAATCGTTGGCCTGAGAGAAGACAATATCGTTGGGTGAGTCGCATGAAACACTCGTGACGAAACGTCATGTATTGATTAGCCCAAAACCTAATTCTCTTTTAACCGCACTGGCTCAATGAGCACTGCGCCGCCCGTTTTCCAATTTTTCTTTTTTCAATGAAATGAGAGTCAATTAAAATCTCTAAAAATTACAATGCATACTTTTAACTATATCGAATTTCTGTCAATTCTCAATCCGTTGATACTCGCATAAGTACTAACATGCGAGCATGAATGATTACTACAAAAGTTTCAAAATTCGAATCCCCAAGTTTAACCTTTAAAAATCTCTAGTTCTATTACCATTTCCTATTCGTTAGGAGTTGAACCCTTCCTCTAAACCCAAAATTAATCATTTTTTCCAACTTTTGTTTTTCACAAATGGTAAAATAACGTATAGAAATAATTTGTATAAAAAATATCCGTATAGAAATATCCGAATATCATATACGAGGGTTTATGGTCCTCAAAGAAATTCATTTTGGGGTTTTTCGTAGGGGAGAGTGGGGCAAAATGAAACAGTCAAAAAACGACTGTTTGACGCAATTCAAGCAACAAATTTTTTTTCATTAAATTTTTTTTCGTCAACTGCTTATTCTTCGGAGTACTGATGAGAATAATAATTTTCCATTCAGTAGAATGGACAATTAAAAACAAAATTGTTGGAATTTAATACAAATTTTTACTTTTGAACAGCAATAGTGAAAATTCTCGCATGAAAACAGATATTAAGGATATTAAGGAGGTTTCACCTATCAAGTAGATAACTCAGTTGAAAAAACTAAAATTGATTCAATAAATCATTCATGTTATAAATTATTTCTCTAATCAAATTAGACGTACTATGTCATACTTTTTCGGTCTCAAAAATAATAATTCACTGTTAGAAATTTTTTGAAATTTAAGTAACAGATGTAGTTAAATTTTCAATATTCTGAACTTGAATTCAATTTCAATCTAATTGCTCATGGAATTCCTGATTCATCTTGGAATTTCAATGAAATTAGGTTTTTCATGATGAATAATTATTGAATTTTCAAGGACAATTTGGATTTTCAAACCTATCGTGACAATTAAGCAATACATTCAATTGAATTTTCAACAGATTTAAAATTCAGAAGAAAAGTTGCCTGAGTTTTCACGATCTTCAGTAAGTTTCATTGTCGTGTGAGCCTGAGAAATCAAATTTCATTGAATATTCAAGCAAATTGACTGATTTATGAATAACAAGATCAATGGAAATTCCATGTAAATTATTCGTTGTTAAAAATTTAAAGATTTTCTACTTGAAATTTAAAGAGAAATTTCTAACAGTGTTAAAGAAAATTTTCATAAACAATGATCAACTTGTGACTGCAGTGGTAACAGTCGAATTTTGATCGGGCAACATCGCACGCTTCGGCTAGTAGTGGGTGGTAGTGGGGTTGTATCAGTGAGATGAATGTTGTGTTATACGTGTCCATATGCTTCCAGCACTGAATTATCCTCACCGACTCTGCTGACCTCGCTCAGCTGTGTGGTGTTGTGTTGTCGATTTATTCCATGTACACCTTGGGTGGTTATTTAAAAACAAATTCTTTTTTAAAGTTATACGAAATCAAAATTTCCGGTCAGGCGAGGTGAGTTATTTTTTCAAAATGATAACTCGATAAATATGAATTTCATCAAAGAAGTTCTGTTAGACTTTCCAACCCCCCAGAAAAATCAGCAGCCCATTCAGTCTGGTCCGAGGGGATACCCCATAAAGGCGGGCAGCCAGGGTCCACGGACCAACAGTGCGATTATGTCTAAACTACCTGCTTTTTATCTGCTTTATTTCAGCACGGACGAAAAAAATTAATAGAAAAAGCTATCGAATTCTTTAAGAAATTCTATTGAATTTGTATTGAACTCCTCTATTAGTTTTTGGCCGATTCTATTGAAATGTCCACTAGAAAATATTCAGTGGAAAAAGTCAATAGAATTCAATTTTTCTATATAACTTATTCCATTGAGATATTTATTAGCTAAACTTTTTAGCTAATGAAATTTGCAAAAAGTGTCGTCTGACATGTTGCCCTGACATCATTCATTATGAAAAAAATGGAATTGTTATCATCGTTATTTAGAATTGGGCAACATCAAAATGTTTCAACGATTAACTATGGAATTTTCTGGGTATTTTAGTTCACAGTGGCAGAGTTTTTTCGTATAAAATCGTCAAAACCTTGGCCTTATCAATGAGAGCACTCTGGACATGTCGTACACTGAATTGGAACATGGGTATCAGGTAAATAATTCAGTAGCGAAGTGGTCAAACGGTTCAAGTCAATTTAGTCTTTAGTTGAGTTTTCCAGAAATATTTCCGAATTTAAGGGAGATAGCGAAATTTTCGTAATAACTTTTATGATAGAGCGAATTGAGTGCAACCAAAAAGGTTATGAGAAAAATGCTGCTATCTCGCTTAGGTTTCGAGATATTCCTTGAAAACTGGCCAATAGCCAAAATCGACTTCAACCGTTTGACCACTTCGCTACTAAATTAATTTATGGCTAACTATCAGTTAATGTAGCAGTGGGAGCCATTTGATTCATTGGGATCTGTTTTCTTTCTTCAATTGAAAAAAATCATTTGCATTCCCAGGATCTCCGGAGCACTGGCCGTCCAATATTCTACGTAGGTGACATCGGTGCCGTACCCCAGAATCTTGTGGGCGGGATACCGTCTGCAATCTACAGGTCATCCAAACGCGTACGTATTCTCCTTCTCATTTTAGTACTCAAGCGGTTAAGGTGTTTCGTCTGTGGATCGGGGGGGGGGGGGGGGGGGTGAAACGGGAGTTTCTGATCACCTTCGGGTGTCAAATAATTTTTACTGGATGTTTTTCTAATTATTGAAATAATATTAAAATGCGTCTCGAGTTGGTAAACCTGTCGAGTGTTTTCTCTCTCTCAGTTCCATGGACTAACCCATAGCTTTCCCATGATGCTCACTGACATTCGAATCACGCGCCTGCGCGTGGGTGCGTAATTGCCCCGAAACTCATAATTTTCCGAATCATTTGTTCAAATAACTTTCTCATGAAATCTGAAAAAAATCTGAAACTTATACGTGTTCTCAAGAAAGATTTGATTTATCACCCACTAATTTTTCCTCAATAGTTCATTATTTTTTTGGGTGCTATGGAAATTTCCCTAATTGAGCGGGGGGTAACCTCGGAGGTTAAAACTGGAGGGGTTACAAAAACGTTCAAATTGTTCATTGTTCATTGTTTTTTTTCTTGAAACTGAGATCTGAAGAAAATGTGCAAGAATTCTCCATGATGCAGTAGGGTAAGCTACCTAGTAGATGGACACTGCCCTATAGATGGACGAGCTACTTTTGGATAGGAAATTATGCAAAACAATACCGAAATGTGAATTGTTGCTGTGAATTTTCACTAACTGTTGTAATTCTGACCCTTGAGTGACGATTTTTTTTCGATCAATTTTTTTTTCAATTGCTAAAAAACAAACGTCCATCTACTGGGCGGTTTTCTTACACTGATAGAATGATTCATTTATTCCAAACGAGATTCGTTGAATATTAACGAATGGTAGAGTTGAATATGAAGGATTGCAATGCTTCCATTCGGACGCAAAAATATAAAGATTAATTCATCACCTGGAGGAAAAGGTCTCTTCTCCAATTATTATATTGATCCCTCATTCATCTTTACCATTCAATTTTTTTAATTCACTAGGCAATCATGCGCGACCACCTTCAAGTGAGCGCTGTAACGCACAATAACATCCTCGTAGTCATGGAAATCATTGATGGATCCATCAACCAATCGCAAGGCGAATTGAAAAGTTAACAATCAAAACAATCATTCATTGTCAATCAACTTTATGAAAAAGGATTAGTCATCACTTCAATTTTAAAATTCGTGACT